CACACACACACACACACACACACACACACACACACACACACACACACTAACTGGGATATATATTCTGGTAAATACTTCTGCAACATTCAGATAAAAAAACCAACAACTTATATGCAGGTTGTGTTGAATAGCTACTGATTGACAAAGCTCACCAGGAATGACTGTCTGCTTGCCCGGGGCTAGTTTAGCGCCACATCGGGCTAGTAAATCAACTCACTTGACCGATTGCATAATGGTAAAAAAAGAAGAAAAAAATTCAGAGCGGATAATGGAAGTAGCTAAGGAGAGAGCCATCTCGCTTCCTTCTCATCTCTGTTGAGAGTTGAACATGTGCAGCACCCTCTGTGCGCATTCAATTATCCAGGAAACAGGAGCTTAGTTGCATGGCATTAGAGGACGTGGGCGAAACTCCAGATTAATTTACTTAAAGATTAAAAATAACAATTAACTTTGTTATTTGGTAACCACTAACAATTTAGATGGGGGCAAATGGGTATCTGTCTGGGGGAAAAAAACACTTATGTTTAACCCTGTATGAATATTCATTGGTATGGGGACACTAAATGAGAACGGTGACCTGGTGCAATATGAACTCCTTCCTTTTAGTCCAAACTACAGAATGCCTTCTTATGATAGTGGCTGAATGTAGATGAACGTGACTGAATAACAGGAATGTCAACCTTATAAAATAAACTGCCAACTGGCTAATTTCTCTGCTGGCATTACAACACGAATCTTAACGCTCTTCCATCAGTTGGTGAAATGCACATGCAATTAGTGTCATCCTTTCCAACTCTCAGCAGTATACAGCAGAGGTTAAATGGATCTGTGAACAGATGTCTTGCACAGTCAACAACTTGCCATTCAGCACAGTTGTCCTGCTTGCCAATGCCAGGGGTTGTTGTGCTTTACAGTCTTAATGTTACTCTATAAACAGTTCTAGGATGTCAGGAAACCATTTCAGAATTACTAGAGTAAACAATCTGATGTGATTAAGAAGAGTCACAAGATCCCAGTAAACATAGGTGCCAACTTTGAATCTGCTGAAGGTTTGAAGTTTGGGGATGCGGACGGCTGTATATTAGGATGCAGTTTCTGGAATTAATATTTTCATAACAAATGTATCAAATGACAACATGAAAAAAAAAATGTGACTATGTGAAAGGGGTTGCTCATTGTGTTTACCTACAAATAATTATCTAAATCTGCGGATCCTCTTACTGTTCAGAGCATAGAAGCAAGATTAGGCTTGTTGTTTAGCTGTCGCAGCCTTACTACTGTTGTTAACTCTCACCGCTCTCATAGCATCGTTTTTGGCTGCAGTGGGCAGCGTTGTTTAGTGAGGAAGCTCTGAAAACCCACAGTACACCACCTGCTCACAGACACAGCTAGCAACTCGCTGGTGAACATAGTGGAGCATTTAGCAGCTAAAACCAAAGCCAGATATTTCCCTCACGAGTTGGTAGAGACCAAAAACAGAGTGAAAAAAAAAATGAATGTTGGATTTAAATTCACCAGGCCAGAAACTCAACTCTGAATGAATGATAGGTTGTTCTGTAACTGATGGAAATAAGGGACCGTTAACAAGTCCTGTATATCAACTTAAAGATGTCACAACTGGTATCAGCTACCCCCAGATATCCCAAAAATTATTATGATAAATGTACCGGTAAATAAAACTATTCAATGAATTCATCCTTTTTTGAAAAATAAATGCAAACATGAGTCCCTGTTTTGTGTCCCTTGGAAGTAAAAATAGCTTGTGTGTGTAATATTTGCTTTTATTGTGTTGACATTTTGGGATCATCCCATCTTTTGAGTCTTAAGAGGATAACATTAACTGCTAAACTTGGAGACCTCAATACTTCTGAAAAATAATATCACCTGTATCATGTCACACTCGAGTTAAAAACATCACAATACTCTGGTATTTCATGTCTATGAGTGTTGCTTGTTTACAGTCTGAGATCTCAACAAGCCAACCATAAGAGAAGGAGGGCCTCTTGTGACCTAGTCCAACATACAGTCAGTCCTATACAAAGTTGTGAGGGTTGTGGCATTTTGCCAGGGGCTGAACGCTGATGTATTACGATAGTGCTTCCGACAGCGAGAACCCGCATCAACATACCTTCAACCGTTTAACCATTTCATCGTTGCTGATTTTGTCCGTAATCTCCTTCACTCCGGGAGGATAGGTGATCTTTCCGTCCCCCGCAGGTTTCTGCTGTTGCGGGAACTCCATGCTTGTTGATGTGGTTAGGGTCCACACGGTCTTCTACTGGCCTCTATGGGTCAGAAAACAAAAGTTCAACACAACCATGCTACCGCACTTACCAAAACCTCGTTTTAAGCACCATTGTCATTTGCCAACGATCAATTGAATCCGCTAAAATTGACAACACCGTACCTGTTTATTTAACGATATTCTAGTCCAGACAACTTTTCAGACAGAAAGCCAACATTAAATCAGCAGTGTACATATTGTTAGCTTGCATGCTAAATTATCCCTGCTAAACACAAGCTCCATATTTTCCGTAAATGTCTCATCATACATGGTATCGCTAGAGAAACAAGCTCAACTGTTTTTCCGGTAACCTTACAGCTATTTAAACAGCTAAGTTGTTGGGAAAACACTTAAAAACGGCACGAAAGCACCCGGCGTATGCCTACTGTCATACAGGTTATCAAATTAGCTAGCTAGCTAGTTGCAGTGCAAACATCATTGGTAAGCGGATAGCATTTTGCGGGAAGGAAGTAATGCTAGCAGCGAGCGGCTAATACACGTTAGCTGTGCTAGCTAACTGGTTAGCCTACTTTGCTAGCTTATAGGCCGCAAACTACTGAGGTACCCATCACATCTCCAGCTATAGACAACCACAGAGGAAGTGAAGTATCCCATCATCTCTGCCTAAAACAGCCATGCTCGTGGTCAGTTCCAGTGGTTTACAACAATTGCAACTACTTTGTGAAGTTTAAAAATCAAGCTAATTTACTTGTTACTATCTTTTTTCAACTTCGACGCATCGCTCCGTACTGCCGCTAGTTTACAGGCGAAGGGCTGCTACCGTCGCCCTCCTCTCACCACCAACTTGCCCCCACAGATGATTTTTAACACCCTAACAAATGCAAAATGAATATATTTTCAAATATACAACTACGACTGAAACAGTATAATATTTGCCAAGCATCTCCTCGTTTGTATTTACCTCTCAAGTGGGCCGTTTTAATTCATTAGTCTGACACAGGTTGGGTTTAGTTTTCGGCACAAAGCTCTCTGTCCGTTCAGCTCAGTCAGTGCTGTCTGTGTGGTGTGAAGGCTGGGTGCACAGCGCCTCCCTCGGTCTCACATGAGTACTGCAGCACCAAATACATGGCGGGAGTCACAAACGAACAGCTCTCACGCTCAAATCACTTCATCCCATTGTGGGGTTTTATCGCTCCCGTGTCAACAGTTTTGTTTTAACTACATTTGTGACTGTGTTTTTATATGAATTCACATATGCATGGTACCATGTTCCTGTTTTGTGTGTGTGTTATTTCTTCTTATCATTGTTATTTCCACTGATACTACTGCTAGTAGTACTAACACTACTCATAGGAGTAGTATATTACTAAATACGTGTGATAGTAATACATTCAGCACGTTAACTTTCTTTATAAAATAATGAATTGTGAGAGGGACACCTAGTGGTCAACTGGTAGATAACAGTTGAAAAAGGGTTAAACTTTACACATTGCGAGAATGCTGCAGCCCATCCGTTTTTGTTTTAAATTAGGAGATTTTTTCATATCATATTACATCTGGCATTGTATAATGTCCCGTTGGTTATGTGCATCAAACAGTTTACAGTGACAGGGCTGCATGAGTACTTTTGACAATATTTTATTTTTCTCATTATATATGCAGGAGTATCAAATTCAGAAAGGCCAATTTCAAATCTCAACAGGGACCATGTGAAAGGGCAAACTTTTATTTTGACGTCAGCGTCTTTATTTCCGGTGTTGACCTCTCTGGCGAACTTGCTATTACGATTCGCCCTTTCTGATGCATTTACACACTGACAGTCTACGTTTTCCACCGCTTGGAGTGCTGTCACATATCACAACCTTGAGTTGTTGCACTTTGGTTACTCTAACCGACACTACAGAAGCATGTTTTCAGCTCCGGGCCACCCAGTATGTAGCTCTCAGCTACTTAGTTAGCTCCGTGTAGCCGCTAATGAGAGCAACCGGCAGCTTACAGCCCAACCACGGAATGCCCCGGAGAAAGAAAAACGGCCAGAGTCCGGCCAGAGCTCCCGGTGGGTCGCCAGAGCGGGGAAGCCTTGGCCACAACAGGGGTTACTCTCTACCGGCGGGATTTGACGGTGCCATGGCGAACAACTTTCCATCCAGCACCTCACTGCCCAGGTCCGTCAAGGAGAAAATCGTGAAAAGCATGCAGGAGATGTTCTCTCACCTGGATCCCGAAGTTATATACATCGTGCTGTCCGAGTGTGATTTTAAAGGTGACGTTAGCACTAAACACAGAATACACTTGTCCAACATTGTGTGTGTGTGTGTGTGTGTGTGTGTGTGTGTGTGTGTGACTCGTGGGAATGCTATTTAGTGTAGCTTGCTAGCTGGGTATTTCTGGGCAGCATTTTACTACAGGATATTACTGTATCATGGAGGTCCCTTGTGTATTATTGACAGTATCAAGGGTCTTGGTTAACTAACCCACGCACCCGTCCACCTGTGTGTGTGTGTGTGTGTGTGTGTGTATACATATATATAAAGATAGATGGATATGTAATGTTATGTGTTAAGTCTACCTACTTAGCACCAGTAAGTGTCACAGTGACGGGGATTACCCAGAGTGGGCGTGTCCTTACCACCAACTGTGTTGTTATTCTTGTCACTGTAATGGTATGTATGACATTGTGTTCCATTTTCATTCATTGTTGGTTTGTGGTGCTGATAGCATTGCTGTGGTAAAGCTGGTGCGGCTTACTATTATTACTAATAAAAAGCTTTATTTTTTCTCTCCTTCCACTTTAATGTATTGAAACATTGAATCACGACTTGAAAATTGACCCACTCTTTTCCTTTATTCTTGGTGGTTCTCGTGGTTTCTTTTTGTGTTCTAGTTGACAATGCCATGGACACCCTCTTGGAACTGGCTGAGGTCGCAGCCCCCGCAACTTCCCATGTCTCCGGCTTCGAGCGCACTGCCGCGGCCCTGCTCAGCCCGTACCACTCCTCTGGGTCTGGACCAGACTCCTCCAGACCATCCCAGCTGCCCCCCTCTCCTCCTCTACCCACCAGCCTCCTGACAGAAGAGCTGGACCTGCTCGTTGACCAGGAGCTACAGGCACTAACTGCACGGCGAGGCGTCGAGGAAGAGCGCCGCAGCAGCCAGTATTTATCCGTTGGTGCGTCGCTCTCCTCTCTCCCTCCACTGCCGTTCCAGCAGCAGGTCCTCCCTGAGCTGCTTCAGGCCAGCCTGCAAACTGGACCTAGAGGGCCCTCTGGAGGCCTGGCTGAGCATTTCTCCGGAACTTCCTCTCCGCTTGACCGGAGCGTTTGGGAAGACGAAAGTGTTGAGCAGCAGCAGTCAAAGGTGGATTTCACACATCTGATGACCGAGACGTCTGAATGCAAGCCGAAGCCTGCTCTGGACCTGGCGACGTCGGGGCGTCCCTCGGCCTTCCAGGTGTATAAAAAGCTGCAAGACCCGTCGCATGCTCTCTCAGACAAGGCTGGGGTCGTGCCCTCTGAAGCGATGGTCGGCGGAGCAAGATCCAAGGCGGACACATTGAATCAGGAGCCGCTTGGCTACATGTCTTTGCCCTGGAACATGCAGGCACCGGTGTTTTCTCCCCGCATCCACGGAATCCAAGGGCCGGTCTTCATTACCCCCGTGGCTCAGTCGCCGTCCGTCTGGTCCTGCCAACCCAGGCCGACTCTGGGCCCTGTCAGCCGAGCGCCTCTCAGACCTGCTGCTACCATTCCAAAGTCCTGGGCCCTGTCCGCTGCCCCACATCTTCCCGCCCAGCACAGCAGGCTTCGTTTGGAAGGGAAAGTCCTCGTGCTGCTACGCGGTGCTCCAGGATCTGGCAAGTCGACCTTGGCAAGGTAAGAATGTTGAGATACTTGCCAATGGAATAAGAAACAACCATTAATTTACATTTATTGATGAACTAAAGTTTTGTTTTTAACAAGAAAATAAATCACACACACCATTTTGTGTATATATATATATATATATATTTAAAAAAAAAAGGTTCCCTCTTGTTTAGTTAGCTTTTTGGAGTGATTATGAAATGTGTGTGTGTGTGTGTCTGTCTGTCTGCAGAGCCTTCTTAGAGCAAAACCCAGGTGGAGTTAGACTGAGCACGGATGATTACTTCACTCGCCACGGAGTTTATCAGTATGACCCCGCTGCTCTAGGGGAGGCCCATGAGTGGAACCACAAACAAGGTAAGCAATACACACACACACACACACACACACACACACACACAGTTCTGATAATAAATGATGCAGCAAGTCAAAAGTCGTTTGCGACCTTTTAAAGATTTTTCATCAGTGTAATTGATTGCCATTGTTTCCCTTTCAAGTGTTTTGTTTCTCTCGTGCCAACTTTATTCCATAGCCAAGGAGGCGTTTGCCAGGGCTGCTAACCCCATCATCATTGACAATACCAACATGCAGGGCTGGGAGATGAAACCATACGTGGCTCAGGTCAGTCCGCTTGCTCCGTATACATGAAGCATGGCAACTTGGATGTCATGTGGCTGACGGATTCGGCTGTAGCACCGCTTTCTCTGGAGAGGAGCTCATGAATGACATGTAACACATGACACCGTAAACGGGTTAGGCAACGTCCAGACCCACTTCAGCTGGAGATGCCAGTTGAATTACACTCATGCCTTGTACCTCTTTATGAATTAACAATGGCATAATATATTAGGGATATATTTGTGGACATTGTACACGTGACGATGTTATAAACTGTTCTAGGCACTGAAACATGGATACAAGGTGCTGTTCCGAGAGCCGGACACTTGGTGGAAGAACAAGCCCAGAGAACTGGAGAAGTGAGAGAGAAATCATAGTAGCATCTGTTTTTAAACGTAGAATGTCAACTCAATTATTTATTTTTTTTTTGCACATGAAGAGCTGTTGGAGACTATTTAATAGTGTTTGTCTCCATATGCATACTCAGACGTACCACACACAGTGTGCCGGTGGAAAGAATCCGACGCATGCTCGATAACTGCGAGCGCTTCGTCACGGTCCAGTCCATCATGGGTTCACGGATGCCTGAGATGAAACCGCGCCTCCTTCTGGAGAACAACCGCGCGCAGTGAGTTTCACCTACGAATGTCTTTTTCAGCGTTCGATTGTATTTAGCTCCATGCTCTCGTGTCACTTCTGGTTGCAAGAAAACAAGATGGCGACGGACGAAATAGGCAAACTCTAGGTTTCAAAAACGTCAGTCCACAAACCAATGGGTGTCGTCACGATGACTATGCCCTCTACTTATGTGCAGTCTATGTTTAGGGCATCTGCTTCGCATCACATTGCGTGAGCATAAAGAAGACCCAGTCGTGAATCACATTACCTGGAGAAGCATGTACTAAATGAATAACTAGTAAGATGTAAAGATTCTCAAAGTCAAGTAATTCAAACAGTAGATTTTAGATTTTTCCTGGGATCACTTTCTGTATGACATTTAAAGACTTTGTCAATGTGGAATAGTGTAAAAACACCACACATGAAATGAACTCTGTGAGGTTAGGAACTAATGTAAAATACATTTTTGACCGACAGTCAACTTGGCATGCACAAGATTTAGATCATTATTGAGAAGTTATGAAGTTATTAATGCCAATAGTATCATTATTTACTGCAATAATTTACCTGTACATTTTTCAAAGTTCTAGAAAAAACTGTCTTAGTTAATTTGGAATATACTCTGTGTTATATTTCTTTCTACGGCAGATGGCTCTCTATCACTCTGTTGGCTAAAGTGAAAAATAGTTTTTATAATTAATAGTTATTTTTTGTTTTTTTTAATAAATGCACAGAAGCTCAAATATTACCTGGTTAAAAAAACGAAAAACCTTTTGGGTTAAAATAAATGAAAATAAGAAATAAATATCATGCTCATCTAATACACATGAATCATCATTGGTCTGTTGTGCTCCGATCAGTAGTTATTTTACCATACATATCTCTCTTGTTTTCTACAGGCTGGTGACTTCTAAAACATCTTGCCCTGACCTTGTCGGGCCGCCCGGATTGGCTGAGGGATGTAATAAATCCCACCCTCAGCTGTGTTCCTCTCTCCCCGACGTGTCATCTATTGGTCGTTGTCGTGAAATGGGAATGATGGAAGAAGGCACCCACAAATCCACGGAGTCCCTCAATTTCCAACCCACCGGAACTCTTACGGAAAACCCTGCAATGTCCGACGGGGTCAACGACATGGATTTGGGCGAATTCGATTCTGAGTTAGACGCCCAGTTAGAGCTGAACCGTCCAATAGGAGATCAGAGAATCCCAGACTGTATTGTGGAATCGGTGATGAGCGAAGATCCTCGCGGGGATGACATGCCCGTTGCTTTCTCTGAATCCATTGCGCAAAGAGTGTGGAGAGAAAGACCGAGCAGGGGGTCCGGTTTCGACCGGTCGGAGCCCGCAGACGGCGAGGCAAAGGAGGCAGAAGGGAGTGAGACGGCAAGGGATGGGGGAGAGAAGGGAAGGCCTCAGATGTTGGATTTTGCAGGAGATTGGCCTTGCGGAGGGTCCCTCGAGCATCAACGGGTGAGGAAAAGAGAAGGGCATGAAGACGGAAACGGGAAGGAAGATGAAGCCGTGTGTACTGATGCTGACAAAAATATAGCGAAGGTGCAGCCGGGACCCGATGTGACGGAGTTTCAGAAGCGTCTTGATCTCATTCAGACGGGAGGAGCCGACATTCGGACGGGCTCTTCCCGTTCGTCCTCGCTTTCCCAGAGCTCTGGGGAGGAACTGGAGAAAGAAGAAGATGAAGCGGCGGTTAACAGCACCAGAGGTGAGTTACCCGACTGTGTGTTGGACTGGAAGGCAGCTGGCTCTAGTAAGGTCAGAGAATCAAGACTTGACGGTTGGGAGGGAATTGCAAGGGAAAGGGAAGCCAGACGCACCACAGGAGGAAAGGATAATGTGTTGGAGATCGTCAGCAAATCTGTGGATTTGAAATCAACCGACCCAACTAATCCAAACTCGCCTCTCGATGGTGATTCACTAGTCATCTCCGAAACTGTGGAGGCAGATGTGTGCCATGATGGAGTGGTAAGCCACAATGTCGAAGGTGATGTTGGCGCAGGGCTGGCCGCTGGTCATACTGATACGGACAGGACAGAGGATGGCAGAGAGACTGAAGCTGATGGGAGTCATATTAGCGAGGCGAGTGAGAGTCCTGCGTGGGAGGGCTCTGTGGAGGCCGAAAGCAGTGCTTTCAGTGGAGGCAGTCAGGAGAGAAAGCAGCGCCATGGTCGTAGATCAGGGAAACAGTGCAAACTGGCACTCACCTTCACTCAAAATTGCCCCGCTCCCTCACAGAGTACTCTCGAAACACCCAATAGCTCAGCCCAAAGCGGGAACAGCATTCAGAATAGCACCGACACCGATGTGGAACCTGACTGTAGCCTTAAACCCAACTTTGACCTGTCCAGAACTGACGCACACCCCCAGCCTCCGTCACCGCTTCCCCTGGCAATCCGAGGCAGCCCCACCCAGACGGATCCTCAAGACTTTGCCCTTCTCTGGCGTCTCAATCGGCGAGACGCAGTCGCCGCAGCATGCCGCGTCACAGTGCTGTCCGGCGACTCCTCTCGCTTTGTGCCGGAGCTGTCGTCTGCCGTCTCCGCGGCGGTCGCAGTGCACCCATCCAACCAAAGAGAGGTACCCTACCACGTGGCACACGAGAAGGGCACGCAGGTGGAGGAGAAGGAGCTCGGGGCGACTCAAGACCGCCTGAAGAGCCTGCGTATCCTCAGCAGCCACTTCAAATTGGTTAGTTTTGACACGCTGGAAGATCTGCACGACAAATGCCACCAGGACCTTGAGTGGACGACCAACCTGCTGCTGGACTCCGGAGAGAGGTTCTTCAGAGAGGACGATGGGAAGGAGGAGGATGGTGCTCGGGGTGGTGATGAGCGGAACACATCCGGTCTGTGTGGAGCTTCAGGAAAACCTGAAGGGACCAGGTTATGTCCTAATGTGCTAGTTGAGCATTTCCCTGAAGGTTGGCCACAGGGAGAGCCAGCTGGGTTTAAGGAGGAGTCTGCAGTTAGTGAGTCATATGAGAGCGCCGATAATACCGATGCGGCCGTTCCAGTTAGAAACATAGATCATCCTGATACAAAAACATCTCAAGGGGATCCAAGTGTGCCTCATGCAGCAAGCAAAGGAGAGAAAGGCGGCGAGTGCAAAGCGACATCAGAAGCTCACCCAGAATGCGTTGCTTGGGGTGGAAGCTTAGATGATGGAGTGATAGTTGAAGAGTCCAGAGTTGAGATGGAGGAGGAGATCGCCAGCATGGACGAGGTCCACCGGCTGCTGCTGTACGAGATGGAAAGAGAGGAGGAGGAGAGGACCGGAAGGAGGCACGCAGAGGAGAGAGGGAGCAGACACCTAGACATCCAGAGCGTGGAGCTGAAACTACCCACTGAAGTGGCGCTGCAGCTAATTGAACTGTTTGGTCCCGTCGGAGCAGACCCAGGTAACCAACACACAGGAACCGAAGAATATTTAATACGCATTTAATACTCGGACGACGACGCAGGCCTCAAACCTTCAGTACCAAAAATAATGGAAGTAGTTTTGTGAACACTGAAAATAACCTCTCCCGTCCACAATATTCAGGTGCATGCTCCACTGATGAATATGCAGTGCAGATGGACCTGCACCTGGCCAAACTGCTCCACCAGAAGTGGAAGGAAACCATTCAGGTGAGCTCTTCAAAGCGACTAGAATCAATATGTCTGTGATACTTCCATGCAATTATAAATCTACCCCTGATACTACCATGATTTACTGTGAGTGGGTGTCCGATTGTTCATTTGCCGGGGAATGCTGTTTTACAGAAAAAGCAGAGACAAGCAACTCTTTCCTTTCACTTGCTTGGTGAAAGTAAGTCCTCACACACACACACACACACACACACACTTAGACACAAACTTAAAGGTGCAGTGTGTAAGATTTGGTGGCATCTAGCGGCAAGGTTCCAAATAGCATCCAACTGAAACTTCTCCCGCTGCCGAGCGTGTCGGATGCTACATACAGTTCCTTTAAAATCCATGGAGTATCATTTAATGGTAATGGCAGCATACCTTTTGCTCAGCATATGATCAATATGGCGTTGCATTCACTCACATATACACACTCAGAAACTTCCATGTAAAATGTTTGTTTTCTCAGTTACGTTGTTTAACCCTGAATGTGCCTCATCCATGTGCTTGTTGGGTTGTTTCACTCTGAATTCAAAAGCCTAGCCTGTAATGGAGGCTGTAATTAGATCATATCCACATTACATCTGTGTGTACAGTGTTACCTCGTATTGTCCCAGTCAATTTAAAGAACAATATTTTTTCAGACATAACATTTAGTTTCACAACCCTTTTTGAATGTGTAGGTTCAGCACACTGGGGTGAGTCACAGGTGGCCCGACCTGGATCACGAGACCAGACACAGCCCACACGGGTCTCGATTAGCGCAGAGGGTCACGCGTCACTGGTCAACCAACTGGAGGCCCGCGGTCAGATGCCGTTCATGGACCACTGGAACGCGCCACACCCCCACGTGTCTCTCAGAAATATCATCAAAGAGGAGCAGGCTTTGCAGGAGAACGTGGAAAAAGTAACACGTACACAGGTATCCATACATATCCTAGTTTGTTCCTCTCTGCACACCACACATCCTGACCCCCTTTCCAACCCTCCTGTCAATCAGACCAGACAAAGTCGTGCAGACCTGGACCGGCGCGATGGAGCCGCCCTGTTGAATGAGAACCAACTGTTCTCCCTCTTCCCCACCATTGACAGGCATTTCCTCCAGGACATCTTCAGAGACCACAAGTGAGAAAACTGAAAACTTCATTTGATTTGGTTGGCAGAGACACCATCTTAAAATTGATAGTACAAACATGCTTTCTTTTAATTTCCTATAGCAAGCAAAAACCTATGTATCTGATGTGTTGAAGCACCGCTCCATACTCCTGACAGACTTGTATACGTGTTTACCTTTGCGTAGCTACAGCCTCACCCAGACGGAGCTGTTTCTCAGCTCTCTACTGGAGGAGGAGCCCGTCAAGACAGTGGTCGCCCCAGAGGCTCCGCGCTCCGACCACCTCAGAGCAGCCAGCAAGGAGAGGGAGAAGGTATGTACTAACAGTGGAGCAGAGCAAATCCGTTTCACATCTTTATAACGTATACTATGTTGTCTGGTGTATGAACCTCTGTGTTTTTATTTGTTTTCCTCACCATATCTTTGTTAGCATTATTTTGTCATCTTTTGTTGTCATTGATTCATTATTACCATACAGGCAGTTTTGTGGGGTCGATCACACTGAGACGCATCGCTGCAGCTTCAAAAAGGCCACGGCAAAGCAGGTTCAGGGCTGTGGAGCAGGGCAGCGTGTACAACCGATCATGTGTGAATAACAGAAATTGGATAATGCGCTCGCTCAACCGCATCCTAAATGAAATTGTTGCAAAATGAGAATTGAATTCCCCCTTTCCACTCTCACACACACCGTAGCTCTCTCACAACCCAACAGCTAGCTAGCTAGATAGCCCGACCGCATCGAAACAAGAAGGGAGTGGTAAAGTAGTAAAGCCCGCCTCTTGCTTGATTTGATTGGCTTCCTGGGCCAAATGTGACATCTACGAGTGGTGCGACACCGCGCCTGGTGCTGAAAAGTTAGAAATATTTTAACTTCTATGCACGTCTTAAAAAAAGAGGAGCGCCAGCCAGCTGAGCCGTACCATGGGAAGACAATAGTTTTGCGTGCAACACGTTTTTAGCAATGTGAGCGACGTCTAAAGCAATAATTCATCTACACTACATCACAAATGTTAAATATTAAATAGTAAATACTTTTTTTTTTTAAAGCATGAATCTATTATATGCTGTACTGCCTTATTTCACCTTTCAGTGTTTCTGTCGTATATATTTTAGGGTTCAGCCAGCGCAAACCCCCAGCTGTGAACAAAACCCTTTCCCCCTGCTGCTGAAAACAACATCAGAGTGGAAACACTGCAGTCTCACTCAGTTTTAGATAACTAGGATGAATCTGTGAACAACAGCGACAGATTTTGGCATTTTTTCATTTGCACACAGTAACAATAACTCCTATGGCTTCATTCGTGTCTCAAACTGTGCATCTACAATAGACAGTATCACAATATTTAAGTTACTGATGACTTTTTCCACCCTTATTTCCCTGTCCGTTTCACTCGCTCCCCTTTTTTGAATTTGTCAGAAGCAGAAGCCCCCGGAGGCAGCCGTACCCAACTATCAGGACACAGAGGACCCAGAGTATGAGGACTTCAGGGCCGAGGCCACACAACAGAAGGGCCGACAGCTCGAGTGCTTCTCAAAGGCTAACGAGGCCTATAAGCAAGGACGCAAAGAAGTGGCCTCATTTTACGCACAGCAGGTGAGGAGCTGAACGTCTTTATGTCTTCATTTCACCTGTGAACCCCTGTTTTTCTAATTTTATCTAATAACTTTGTGGACAGGGGGGAAATATACTGTTTTAGCTCTAAACTTTTATCACCGAGCTTTCCTCATATTTGTTTTATTTTGAAGGTTCAGCTCTTCTTTTAATAGTAAATGAGTCTACGCTCACAGTAAAGGAATTTGCATCACCTCTTTTGTAGGGACACCTTCATGGCCAGCGGATGCGTGAGGCCAATCACCGTGCAGCAGTCCAGATCTTTGAGCAGGTCAACTCATCGCTGCTGCCCAGCAACATCCTGGACCTCCATGGGCTGCATGTGGATGAGGCCCTGGAGCATCTGGCCCAGGTCTTACAGGACAAAACCACAGGTAAGGAATAGTACGCCATACTGTATACACTCCCTTACTATCAGCTGTGTTACTAAACACCAAATCAGGATGGTTAGACTGCGGTCTGAGCTCAAGTAACAAAGACAGCCCACCCTTGTGTAATGGGTAATGGGCCGGTTCTGTTACATGGATCAGAACATCTAACACGTTAACTGAACTGTATTCTGTGTTGGTGTTTTGTTCGTCTCTTGCCCGTTGCTGTGTAGATTGTGAGCAGTGTCTGTGTCGACCTCAGCTCTCTGTCATCACAGGAAGAGGGAACCACAGCCAGGGGGGCGTGGCCCGCATCCGCCCCGCCGTTATAAACTATCTCACCAACAAACACTACAGGTATATACACACACACAAACACACACACGCTCATGCACAACATGCCATTGTCACCCACCTTTTCTCCTATCTCTTCATCTCTCAGGTTCACTGAGCCAAAGCCAGGTCTTGTGTTGGTCTCTTTGAAGTGAGAAGAACCTGGTTACTGGGTTCAAGCTAAAGCTGCTATGGAGGACCACACACACACACTCACACACTCACTCACTCACTCTCTCTCTCTCTCTCTCTCTCTCTCTCTCTCTCTCTCTACTTCCACAATACCACATACTACAGTATATACAGTATGGTACACACTCATCCTGTCTCTTTTCTTTCCCCATCAGTCATATAATCTAATCTTTTAAATTGAGGTGCATTTGAGTTAAAATCATATTCTTAATTTAGATCCTAATAAGAATCGTTGTTCTATTGTGTTTATGAAAGATAACTCCGTAGGCACGGAACACAAATATTGTATTTTTATGCAGCTGTGAAGCTAGAATGTGTGTACATTTTAAAAAAGGTTTTATAGCGCGTCATATATATATTTTTTAATCTACATTTATTTTAAAGAGTTTGATAAACACCCGTGTTTTGAAGGCTTCGCATTGAAACAAGACGTGATTTAATCTTCTTACATTCACCGACGCGGAGTCATGTTTGAGACATAATGTGAGGATTTTAGAAAACTTTGAATGATTGCATGCTGTCTGCTTGGAGGCTTTTTAATCTAGGGATTTAATTGATGCAGCATCTGTTTTTTAAACATATTTTATACATTTTACTTGATGCTAATTCTTCATTTAATGCAACTTATTTCTAAACCAAATGCTGAGCAGGAGGAGAGGTGTTGTTCTTCTCTTGTAGGGTTACAGTGCGTCTCGCTCAGCAGGAGGTGAGCCTGAAACGCTTCAGATGATCAGAAGGCCAATAAATAGGTTGAACACGGGGCTCTCGTGAGTTCTGCAGCGATCGGTTTCTTTTCTTAGCAGCCGCCTCAGCAACATACTGCAACTGTTCATTTACTTAATACAAATATATTGATATTCAAACTCGGGTAAAAGATTCCACATTGTTAGGTTTTCTCTTTCGAGGCCAGTCGGTTGTTTCCAGACTGTTCCTGGTGGCTTTTTTTTAACCCACTGTGCCAAATCCTGTATTCCTCAGGTTCCTACACTATTTGTATAGGTTTAAAACAGCCTCTGTGTGATATTTTTCATAAAGGTGCAACGACAATGTTGACTAATTTTTACTTTGTGTACATAATGTTCTTGAACACAAATTGTATTTTTTTTATTAATTTGTTCAAAGGTTTTACAGAGAATATTGTATTGTGGAATAAACAATTTGTTTACAGTTTAAAACTATGTGTATGTTTACGTCAATAGATATGTCATAGTGGAAAACATAACCCTGTGTTACAGCTGTTTTAACAAAATCAACTATTACAAAACATGGAAAACCCGTTTTAGTAATTTTATATTAGTCTGTGTATCAAAAGACCTGCCAGTTTGTGAGAGATATCACGCACATGGTGCCTTTTTTGAAATGCTGATTTACAATGATGTTTTCTACAAGTCAATACAAAGAGATTGTGTTCTACAAAGGATGACTATTGTTTCATAGCTTCCCCAACATTTATACAATAGCACAAAGCTAGATTTAAAAACAAAGCTCTCTCACTGGGACATAAATATTTAATTCCTTAAGCATATTTTTACTGGACTAATACGGTTTGGGAACCCCTGGGAAAAACTGTAGATATAGAGATGATTAAATCCATATGGCTGGGATGCAGTGGAGGGTAAAACCATGAATTAGTGCACATTTTAATACAAAAGGAATGTGTGTTGTGTTGATGGTGTAGCCTGACATTTACTCATTTATATGGTAGCATATCATCACTTTTTTTAAGTGACATCACTTGAGTCAGTTTGTCAGATTTTTGAGGGGGCAGCTCCCTCAACAAAACAGAAGTTGCTGCAGGCTAGTTCTCCTCAACAGCTGTGTTGTGTAAAACCATAGACTGTATATAAGAAGTCGACGTAGTCATTGTGACGTCACCCATTGGTTTGTGGACTGATGTTTTGAAGCCTCGAGTTCGGAGATTCAGCCGTCGCCATCTTGGATTACGGCCGTTGCCATGTTGTTTTTTCCGCAGCCAATGAACAGAAGTTACCATATTTGGAATGCGGAGGAGTGGCGCAGTCACGCCGTATACGTCTCTGGTAGCAACAGCGACCTGTCAATCACAGTAAGCCCGCCCTAAAGCATACTATACTTTATGGACCATAACTTACTAAATGAACATCATGCTGTATTGAAGAAGACTTGAAACTAGAGATTGAGACCATAAACTCATGTTTACAATGTTTACTGAGGTAATAAATCAAGTGAGAAGTAGTCATTTTCCCATAGACTTCTATGCAATCAGGTTTCTTTTTGAAACCGGAGGAGTCGCCCCCTGATGGTCGGCAGAGAGAATGCAGGTTTTGAGACACTTCCGCATTGGCTTCACTCGGCAGAACCGAAGATTGCCACCTGTGTAAAATCGGCAAACCCCTATTTTAACAAGTGAGTTAGAGATATAGAGCATCGTATCTCGAGTGGGAGGTGGTCCACTTTTGAATACAGAGCTCTTTGTGTACCAACATTACCACTGTGATCATAGAAGTGATCTTTTAAAAAAATATTTTATCTTAACCACCTGGGAGCTCTGCTGCTGTGTGAAATGCCTGATAAAATGTTACAAATCCACAGAAAAAAACCCCACAGCTGCTGTGGGGGAGGCGAGGAGAAAACGAGTCCCACCTCTTCACTCTCAACTAGCGGATGTGTTTTACTTTTCTTCTCTGTCGTACTTTCTCACTTCCCTCCTCTGCTAACTACCAAACTCGGCATCAGGCAGGTGCCAAAATATTTCATCTCTGTTTTAAGTAATGCAGACTTTCGAAATGGCGTTTGAGGAAATCTAGTTCAGGAGATAATTATTTATAAAGAACTGTTTCTGGAGTTTAAAGACTTTTTGTTTTTTTGCGTTTTCTGTTGGGCCTTGAAGGCGGCAGCCGGCATCCGCCCGTTTAAGATCGAGAAGACTGACAAGAAAGGTAATTATCTTGTTCTTTGTCTTGATGCAACACAGTGTTGCTGATGTTACTAGTTCAATCTATTCTATTCTATTTGGAAATTTCATTAAAACTCCATAATGATGGCAAAACCCTGAATTTATTTAAAAAATAAACCTTTTAAAATGAAGTGAGATCTTCATTAGAACAAAATATAATTGTGAATGAGTAAAGTAATATTTTATTGTATTAAAGAAATGCATGTAATATGAAGTAAGGAGTTAAAAGTCAGTAAAGTGGAATCGGTTGCACTGAGGGTCTTATGACTTTATTTATTCCTTATTATTTAACAGAAAGCTGAGAGTGACTTTTTTTGAGAGAACATTTAGAAAGTTCAATTGTGGAAAAAACAACTGATTGACGTGTACCTCCATCACGGAGGTCTTTCCATCTGTGTGTCATGGCAGGTAGTTTTGAGGTTATGACTTCTGCTGCTTTTTAATACCGTTGTCAAACTGTTCATTTAATGTGACAGAGAAGTCATAAAAAAACATCAGGAGATTTTGTTCATCAAAATAAAACAAAAAAAACATCAAAATGTGCAACTATTATCACTATATCGTACAGTAACACACAGAGACATCTTCCTTTCTCAGATGTTCGTTTATGGTGGACTGGTTATGAGGGAGACACATTTTTAATAATTAGGGGACAGACAGGTTGTATATGTATGAGCTTGATAATACAGCAGTAATGGATATATTGTTAATGGACCCCTGTTTAAGTCTTAGGGATCAAGCTGTGAATTCTGGGGCACACCCAAACACACAAAACTGTTACTTCCGTATTTAATCAGTACTTATTCAAACATCTAATGTTTTCCTTTTTGCAGTAAATATAAAACATGTCTGTCACACAAATAAAAAAATGATGTCATCTGCCAGTTGCAGTACTCTGGCGGTTGACTGTTCAACAGATATTTCTTATTTGTTATACAGACTGTATTAAGAGCCACGCTGCGCGGCTATCGACGTGAAGCTGCATGTTGTATGAGGAGAGACTGGGGAGACTTCATGTTGGTGACATGTCCTCTCTTCCTCAGTAGATTTCCCTCCTCATCTCTGAGAGGTCCGATGTGTTTGGACAGAATGACAGCCGGAGGACAGACGCCAGACCGCGCTGCAGAGACCCGGAACCAGCTAGACGAGACGAGGGGGCCTAGAGACCGAAGACGTCACGTGAGGCGTGCGTGAAGCTCACCGTTGGACGTCCGCTAACTGTACATACCTAGTCCATACCAGAGACATTTAAGGACTCTGCACAGAGAGATCTTGTAGGTCAGGTCACCGCTGGAATCTCCAGGAATGGAGTTATCGTACTACCTGCCGTGAAAACGACTACCTGAACACGGGAGCACAGCACACACAGAGTGATCGGTCGTTGTTGACTACCCGATGAACCCTGTGCCTCTGAAGCTCCAGAGAGACGACCCCTGAGACCTCTTCAACGGGACCACAGCCACCTAGAGGCCAGAGACTATCGGAGGCGGCCATGAACGACGTGGAGGAGATGTCTGTGAAGTGCGTCCTGGTTGGGGACAGTGCCGTGGGCAAGACGGCGCTGCTGGTCCGCTTCACCTCAGAGACCTTCCCAGAAACCTACAAGCCTACGGTGTTCGAGAACACGGGGGTGGAGGTGTATATGGATGGAGTTCAGATCAGCCTGGGGCTGTGGGATACGGCGGGCAACGACAACTTCCGACAAATCCGCCCGAGGTCCTACCAGCAGGCCGACGTCGTCCTCGTCTGCTACTCCGTGGCCAACCCCAACTCGCTGGCGAGCGTCCAGCACAAGTGGATCGCAGAGGTCCGGGAGAACCTGCCCAAGGTGCCGGTGCTGGTCGTGGCCACGCAGACGGACCTGCGGGAGACGGGGGCGCACCGGGGCAGCTGCATCTCGGCGGCGGAGGGGAGACGCCTGGCTCATGAGGTCCGCGCCAAAGGCTACCTGGAGTGCTCGTCCTTGGGCAACCGCGGCGTGCAACAGGTGTTTGAGTATGCAGTGCGGACGGCCTTGAACCAGGCCAGGAAACGGGCCAGGCGACGGATGTTCGGCATCAACCAGTGCAAGGTCTTTTGACCTTTGACCTTGACTTGGCGGGCACCTGAGATGACTTTTGACATAATGCGTCTTAGTGTACTGTTCACACTCAGCGGGGGCCCAAAGCTGTATTCCTCTTACATACGTGTGGTTCTTCTTCTCCAACTAAGAGACTCCCTGAAACTCACACCATATTTAAAAAGGAGAACTTCTAGTTCTACTTTGGTGTGATCCAGAAAGAGACGTAGAAAAGAACTTTGATTCTTCTGATCCGTCTATGAAGTGAACCCCCCAGCACGTCTCATGGTTGGATTTCAAACGGGGCATCAGAGATGTTTCGTCGTTCAGAAATACTCCATTAAGAACTTTTGTTGTGAAGAATAAAGCACTTAAAGCTTTAATATTGAAGGTGCACGTCATTTCTTAAAATCCTTATATCTCATTTTGCGGTTGGATCAGTAAATAAACTTTAGAATCGCAGCATAAAATTAATAAGTGTACTTTTACTACCACAGATAAAATGACACAACTGGGTTTTGAAGTTGAATAAACTTTTTACAGATTTGTCAAAATCAAACAGTTTATTCTTATGCTATGAGTATGAAGTCAGTAAATAATGGTGAGTGCATGTTGTCAGTAATTATTTAAACTCTTCAGCATAAGCCGATTGGGTCCATATGTGGTGCATAGAGCTCTACATATAATATATTCTCTATTATTGCTCCAGAAAGGATAATATTTCATAAGACCAGACCAGGAAATAAACCGCCATAGGGAAAGCGCTTTATACGTTTCTCTAGATTATAAATGCATTATATATATATATATATGTCAAATCTATTTAGAAGATACATATTTGTATTCTTTGAAATGTTTACTCAGACATTAAATTTGACTAATGCACAATCGTATTGATATACACAAGATAATTGATACCTTTATTTTGTATTATTTTTATTTTAGTGAAGGATCCAAATTTCTTTTTAATTCTATAATAAAGTAAAGAGACATGAAACATCAAAATTATCTAAAATGTTCACATTTTTACATTTTATTTAAACATATGCCACATGTTGGCGCCAACTGTGGATTTTTTGTGGATTGTAATTTTTTTTTATTTAACTGTATACCTCCTTTTAGAAAATATGGAAAAAAATACATGACCTGCTACCTATGCTTCTTGCAAACGTCCATGAATCAAACCTAAGGATGCAACACACTGAAACAGTATTGTTTAATTTATAAAGAAGCGAATAAAAGACTGGGAAATCATCTACAAGTGTTTGAAATATTTACAGTCATTTTCCTCTATAATGGCTGTGTCATCTCCTCTTTGGTTTCCTTCTCTATCTGTTTGAGGGAGTTTACATTAGATTTGAATTAGAAGTGAGCCTGTATTGAAAAGTGTGCATTCATTCTGAAAGTACCCTTTTCTTGACTTCCATTTTGTCTGACCCAAATAAACTCGAGAAGAATCACGGTGTAATTTAAAGACTTCGTATGTGAACGTCCCGTCTGCTTTGTATGTGTAGTCTCATATTATCATGGCCACTTTAAATAAACATATTTCATAGAGTATCATACTATGTGTCTGATGTACGTACTTCTATTACATGTATATCACATAGACCTAATCGGACTAAAAAGCAAGTAATATCTGTCTGTGTTCTTCACATATCTCGAGAACAGCTCATCTGATCTCCTTCACGCTTGGTGGGTGTTTTGCCGGGGACCTCATTAAGTGCTTTGTCGAATTCGGTACAATTTGGACTCGCGCTACATTGCCATACTAACTTACAACTTTAGCGTTGGTTTTGTCAAAGCGTGCGACTAATGCACACCTGTTTGGAAATAACATTTGCTTTGTGTATTACACCGATGTTTCTGACCTATAGGTTTGATTTTCAGAGGTGGATCTAGTGATTTGCGGGCCTCAGGCAAACGCTGCCTTGTTCTACTTTTCTCTAAATGGGAATGTTGGTATTTGCATTGGTAGAAGATGTCTAAAAATTCTTAAAGTAAAACTATTAACTAGAAGTAGTGAAACTATTACAACCGCAGAGTAAAAGTCCTGCATTCAAAAGTTAAATAGAGGCATTATCAACAGAATGTACTTTGAATTTACTTTACGTCTGTTGGACGTGGGAGCTTTCAATTCTTACATGATGCTGGATAGTTTCATGAATAATGAATCATTATTTTAATTGTAACATTTTGACAATCAAACCTAAATCTGCAACATAACCAATAACATTTCTCTGTCAGGTAAATGTAGTACTACAACGTTTTCCTCTGCAGTGTACACATTAAGTAGAAGCTATATGGCTGAGTTGCATATTTTCTATGTGCTTTGGGGGTCTTTTGCTGTCAATTATAAATAACTGACAGCTATTTCAGGGTACAATGATTTAAAATAGTAATATAATTAAATGATTTTCATATCTAAACATCATAATAAATCTATAGCAGCTTGGGGCCCTTTAGTCTGCCTTAACAAATGGTAAAGTCTGCCCCTGGTGTTTCCCCCCCCCCTGTGAACCAAAGAGTGTTTCACTGGTGTTTCTTACCGCGCGTAGCCGTAACTTGGGTGTGTGACACTGCTGTGTGATGGCAGGTGTACTGCTGAGGATCCAAAAGAAAGACAGGGTTGAGTGTGAAGTTGTTCGTATGAGCCGTTCTCTAGAAAGCCAGAAGCAGAAACACCACAGGCCGAGCATTCTGATCGGCCATGTTTTCAATAAGTGTAATATCAAAACATATACAACATTGAATATTAAGCTGGCATTCGCCAAAAATCTACACATTGTATTAGATGTTCATTAACAAATAATTGAATTGGTACATTTTTTACAATGAATGATTCCAATTGTGATTTTTTTTTTTTTGGGGGGGGATGTGTATCAGATTATCAAAGGGAATTTTCTTGAAGGATGAGAAGGTCAAACTATTTCAAACAGTGCTGTTACACATAGTATGTGCTGAGCGTCTGTCATGCAGTGTTCATGAACGCTTCACTGAGTGGCAAAACAGGAAACTAAAGGAAGAGTTACAGAATAAATGCAATCACCTCAGTGCAAAAGTTTAGCTAACTGAGAACAACGCGTAGCGAGTGTAACAACGCGTAGCGAGTGTAACAACGCGTAGCTAACACACGTACACACACACACACACACACACACAGTGTTAGGGCTGCGTCAAAAGATTCATTGCAGCCGAATGGTAGTGAAAGCTCAAAAAGACGACCAGGAACAGCAAACAACCAGGAAAATGGCCCCCCTCGCCCCCCAAACGTTTCTCCCGCACTTTCTCTACATGTCTCCGTCTCATGTGGTGTTCATAGCCGCTGAGGATGAGAGGTGCTGAACAGGCTTTTCAAGGATATGCTGAGAAACACATAACCACATCCCAGCACACTTGCACACATTATAAAGTAAAGCGCCTCACGCCCATTCACTCATTCAGTCTCTTATGCTCCTATGCACAAACTTACACGTGTTTAAAATACATAACCTTACATACCGATTAACTATTTAAGCACTGGAGGTGATAACCTATAATAATAAACTTACGTATTATAATATAACTTATTTTTACTACAATAAACCTCTAAATTGTCTTTCACAAACTGTTAAGGACGCTAAATAGTGTGTCACCTGACACCCCGAGTGTGAACGGATTCATTCACAAAACAGCTCTCTTGTTGAGTTTATTACATATAATCCAGTGATACATTTATTTCAAAATACTGTCTGTGTGTTGGTAATGTTTTAGCATCAAGTGAGTGACAAAGAGAAACGCTCAGAGTTTAACATGTTTGACTGACTGCTGTGGCCACGTCTCATCTCTCACTCGCCCACAACTACCACAATGCCTTATCCCTATCTCACACTCACACTCAAGCACACACACACACACGCACACACACACTGTACAGGCTGAATTCACTGCAGGCTGTTCTGACACACTTCTCAAGGGCTTCTGGGGTTCTGCATCCAATCCATTTCCACAGCAGACATTTTGACGTGTCACGGCAGAGGAGCAGCACAGGTGTAACTAACAACGCGAGTAATGGCTACTTTGAGTATTTTCATTTTGTCACTACACATTTCAGAGGAAAATGTTGTATTTTGTTACTCCATATTTACTAATAAATGATACACTCTAAATTATTTCACCGTAAATTAACGGTAACTTACTGGCAGCAGGGACGCCAGTAATTTACTGCATGTTTAGAAGAAAACTAATAAACTAATAAAATCATTAATGAAGCTTAACTGAACTCATTAGCATCAACAGTGTAACACTGAATTAAAATAGTATCAAGAACAGTGTAATAGAACTGCTTCACAGTCTGGCTTGTTAACAAGTCTTATACACATGTAAAGTTAATTTGAACTGCATGAACTCACACATGAATGAAAGCAATAAAGAGAGAGAACACCTTAAAAGAGGACTTGACTGCAGCGTCTGGCTGGTATCCTCAATCTCTGATGACGAGTAACTGTAAAACAAACAAAATAAAAAAATTTGAAACACAATGTTCTGAACTTCTGGAAAGTTCTATGACATCCAGGATAAACAGACAAACTTTGGGTGTGCAACTGTGGGTTTGCATACGCCTCACACATGTTAACACATCAGTGCAAGTCTTTGCAAAAAGCTAATACAAAAATACCATACAGTTAAATCAACAGACTATATGATGAGCTGATTACGTTAGGTGAAGAAATGAAGCTAAGACAATGGACAACAATGGACGATCGTTCAACACTAAAATGAGTTTGATCTGGTGTTAATGTTGCTCCTGGGATAACGCACACTAACGTTACTGTTAGCGTTACCTCAACTGTTCATCGTCTTGAACACGTCGGTGATTTCTGGTCCGCTCTCCCTTTTGATAATCGTTCCGTTTGCGGTCCTACAGTCGGTTCAATAATAGCACAATTGAACACAAGTTAGGTTACTAACGTTACATCTTAACACTGTAATTGGTGATTAACTTTATTTTTGTTACCTTAACTTGCTATGCTGTTAGCTAGCTAACCTTTCTTAGGCTAATTGAGCTCGAGCTAGCTAATGTTACAGAGCTAGCTCCGCCAATATTAGCAACCTAATGTAACGAAACAGACCAAGTGAAACACTATCTGAGATGTTAACAGTTCAATAATCATCAAGACAAAACAATAATGGAGACTTTGAATTTCGGCTTATAAACGTAACTTTACCTCGACTCCTCGGTTGATCTCCACATGGCTAAGAAGGATGAACTGAAGCAGTCGGTCACGTGTTGTCACTCAAAAATGACTTGTAGGCAATAAGCAGTTTGAATAATAAAAATATTCTATCGTCATTACAGACTCATCAACCTACAATAGACTACGATGTAGATGAATTGTGATTATCTGAACTTGTATAGAGAAGCGTGTATCCACCACTTCACAAAAAATACTGTATCGTGCTGTTACATTACGGTAGTCTGCTGTTATTGATAATTGCTATTCATTTACGCCATCAACTGTTAATTTACATGCAAGGGATGAACATTTAACTGTATGTTAGTTATTATGAAATACTGTAAGATACCGTTGAAAATCCACCATAAATTTACAGTAATTCGTTACAGTGTATAGAATACAATCAACGAATAAATGACGATGTATTATTAGGATAAGATACAACCTTTAGGCTTTTTGATATCTGGGAGTAAATACACAAGCTGCCCCGCAGTATATAATGTGATTAGAATTAGCCCCACTGTTAAATTTCATTAATACATCAATAATAATCCAATAATGGAATGCATGTTTGAATTTTTCAGAAAGGAGCCATTGTGCATAATGAGGTCTTTTTACTTTGGTGTTTGGATTTTTTGTACTTTGACTTGAGTTTCTTTTATTGGTATTTCCACACCACTCAAGAGATGCGAGTACTTCTCCGCCGCCTGCTGAGTTGTATGCGGCCTGGTACTTTGCGTCCTAAAGTCAAAGTTTGTCCCCCTGCCATCGGGGAGAAGGTACAGAACTATACAAACACGTACAAACAGACTGAGGAACAGCTTCTTCCCCAGAGCTGTAGCCTCCATCACCCCCCCCCCCCCACACACACACACACACACCCCTGTGTAGCTGCAACTCAGTCATAAACAGCTAGCACCACCCCCCCCCCCATCAGGCTGCTGAAAACTCTACTGACTTTACTGATACACTTTATACTCTGTTTGCACTGTCAAAACAAATGTTTACTGCACTGTTTGCACACATTTTATTTTATTATTACTTTAGTAACGTTCTTATTCCTTTTGTATATTTGTATCTTTAGTAACGTTTTTTTTATTCCTTTTGTGTATCTTTATCTTTTATATTGTTTATCGTTGCTGTTGTTTGCTGCTGCTGGCTGGCTGAGGGCTACCAATGAAATTTCATTGTATCACTACAATGACAATAAAAACCTCTTTATCTTTATCTTATCTTATGTTTCTTGTCAGAATGATCAGTTCATTATTGACGAAATTGACAGAAAATCCCCAGACTCAAGTCGATCACACCAGATTACTGTTTCTTCTATACTGCAGGTGAGCATTGTTCACTATAGTCGTTGCTGATTATTCTACACACACACACACACACACACTTCCTTAGCTGTTACTACACAACTGCTCTTTCCATTTTCTGTCTCTACGTCTCTGTCTCTCTTTCACTGTCTCACCCTCTGAAGCTTCCCCACTCTCTTTTCCCTTCAGCCCCACTCTCTCCCCCGTTTACTGCAACACCGATGCGTACGCCACCACGTTTATTCACCAGCTCTTCTTTTTGTACAGTATATATGCACCATATTGCATGTTAAGCATACAAACACACATTTGCACTGTCTGCTTATCTCTCTCTTTCACACACGCGCACACACACACACACACACACAGGAAACACCTGTCATATGCCAGCTCAGTACCACAGAAACTCAGTGACACATTAACACATCCCATCACCATACACGGTACTCTGCAGAATAACAGTACAACGATGTCAGTGACATTTCCTACCGATGTTTTTTGATGCAAAAGTTCTGTTTTACTGTGAGCTACGAAGTCCATGTCTGCCTCTGTTGAAGTGGTTTCATTTCAAGCACTGATTCAATTGTAACTATGAGTAAAAGACAAAAAAGACTTCTGAAGAAGAGCATGACCTTTCGTTCATCAGGCTTTACTACAACTGCCTCTTAAGCATTAAATACAACATTTGGCCCCGGTGGTTCTCTTATTAAAGAAATATTCAGAATATTACAAATATAGTGATCATATACAAATTCTACTCTTAAACAATATTAAATCTGAATATTTTTCCGCATTTGCATGTACTGTATAAAATTAGTATCTACATTCTATATATATACTGCATATTCTAAAAACTGAAATAGTATACAGCCATTTTTACATGCTGTATAAAGGCTATGTTTATTCATTTTTGCCATTCATTTTGATTAATTATACAGCTTCCAAACTCTCAACCTCTTTGTTGAGGCAAGATAATGTCACCACAAATATTTTGGTTTACACACACACACACACACACACACACACACACACACACACACACACACACACTAAAGTGTAGAAAACAAAAACAAAAAAAACATCCAGCATGGGGCCTGGACATGTGAAGGAAAAACATTTAAAATAAAATAAAACAAAATATAAATTGCATGTTACACAAACAAGGTTTTATGCATGAAATTGAAGCAAAATAGAGGATACAAACACTCAAAATTTCCATAATGGTAATTGTTGTCAAAAATAAAAGTGTAAATCTTTATTGTCCTTTTGTCGAAGACTCCTATTTACAGGGGGACACCTGATCCTGCATCTGTGTGAAGTTTATCGCCATCACAGCATGTATGACACACGTGTCATGACATTTGCGTGTGTTCATATTGAATGACCTGAGCACAGGTAAGAAAGTGTCCCTGTATGTGTGTGACTGAAACATGTCATTAGCTGTGTAACGCAGTAAGGTTCAGTGTGAGCATGTGTGTGTTTGTGTAGTACAGCTGGTTGTGGCCATGTACACAAGTAGATAGTGCTGCAGGCATCACATTTCCCCCAGTACGTGTTTGCTATGTGATACTGCAGTATACCTGTGTGTGTCTGTTTGTGTGTGTGTGCGCGTGTGTGTGAGCGATAGCCCCAGGTCCTGTTCCAGAGCAGCGATCACATGCCGACAGACAGTGTCACTGAGGCGAACTGCGACTAACAACTAGCGAAGCATTCAGAGCTTCTGACAGGATGTATTGTAAGATTCTGAGAGTTCTTCGTGGTCTCGCTCAGCGTCTGCAGGGGTGCACGGAGGTCAGAATAGAGTGATGCTCCGGATCTGGACCCGGGCCATCTCCACGACCGCTTTCGCTGAATAATTCATCCCTCGGCTCCGGACTGGTTGAAAATGAGGAAGGCAGCGCTGGTGGTTTGGATCAGCCTTTTGGTACAAGGTCAGTTCTGCGTGATGTTTATATCTGACCGGTATCGTAAAGCCAACTCTGACTTTTGTCTACATTTGCTGTCGTACCCTCTGCTCTCCTTAGTGTCCCACGGTGCTCAGGGACATTATGCTCGCAAACTCCTGGCTGACCTGATGGAGAACTACTCCAACGCTCTAAGGCCAGTGGACGACACAGACAAAGCCCTCAATGTCTCCCTGCAGATCACCTTGTCACAGATCAAAGATATGGTGAGTAGAGAGGAAACTCTAGCATGTATCAAAGCTATGCAGTGACTGACAGAACCCTGTTGATAAGGAATATAAATGAAGATATAAGTTGAAGTTAGTTAGAGCTAAATTAGAGTGCTACTGCATGTCCAATGCAACAAAGTCTTGAAAGAATACTCCGGTGTTTCAGTACTTTGATCTATAGCCTGTTGTTAAATCCTCCCAGACAACGTATCTCAACGTAACACACAGCTGAGACACCCACGTGATGTCACTTGAGTCAGACAAAACGGTTTTCACAGTGACTAAATTGCTGGTGTGCAAATTTGCTCACGGTTAAGAGCTACAGAAGAGTGTGGCTTCTTCTTCTGTTTCTGTCGAGACCACCAGAGGCCAGCACTGAATAGCACCGTACTGGAGTTCAAAGAAGGGGCTGCATCCAGTCTGTTTGAATTAGTTTTTCAGGAACAACCTATTTTAATGTTAACTGTCTCTCTTTATATATTTTTTCTGTGCAGGATGAAAGGAACCAGGTGCTGACCACGTACCTGTGGATCAGGCAGGTCTGGCATGATGCCTACCTGAAGTGGGACAAGGAGGACTATGACGACCTGGAGATGATCAACATCCCCAGCGACCTGGTTTGGAAGCCCGACATCGTCCTCTACAACAAGTCGGTAACGCGGTTCACAGTGCACCTATGACGCAGCAGCGTGTGTATCCGACTGACGTGTGTCCTCTCCTCTGTACGTCTGCGTAGGGCAGACGAGGATGCAGGTGCATCCAGCACTAATGTGAAGCTGCGTTATAATGGAGAGATCGTCTGGGACTCTCCAGCGATCACAAAGAGCTCATGTGTGGTGGACGTCTCCTACTTCCCCTTCGACTGGCAACAGTGCAAGCTCACCTTCGGCTCCTGGACCTACAATGGCAACCAGGTGTGTTTAAGCAGGGCGGAGGCAACGGTTATGCTCTGTTTAGTATTGAGCATCTTTGTGTCTAATAACTTAATCATGACTCAACCTGAGAGGAACACCCTCAAAAGTGCAACGTATCTTCATACAATGGTTTGTATGATATCTCACGAAAAGTTACATCTCGTTTTTTCTGGGTCTTTTCTGTGGAAAACAAGCAACACGTGTCTATTTCAATTTCTGTCTTCACAGGAATCAACTTAGTTAGGTCTAGGCAACAAAACTACTTAATTAGGTTTAGGAAAAGATCGTGGTTTGGGTACGAACAAAGGTCTCCTGGCTAAAAGATTGCTGGTTGTTGGACCCAACCACAGTAACTCCCGTCCGCCCTGTGTGTGCTTTTGCGGTCTTTGTACGTCCTCGTTCAAGATTACTTGGATAACATACAAAATAATTTTGTGGGATATCTACGAATTATGGCACATTATTTTTCATAGGTATAGCTACGAATGGTGGATGTGACCAGCCTGAAAATAGTTATTCTGCCCACACTCATCCCCTTCAAATGTGGCTTCTAAAACATTTGTATTTTTCCTTTAATAGTGTCAGTTTCAATTGTATTCTAATGGTGGCAAGTTTTCACACCTAATAAAAATACCAAATCATCCATATAAACAAGGCAATCCTTTTCTGCAGCATAATCTATTTCACCGCTGTCCGTCTGTAAACTTGATACATATAAAAGTGGGCCGCTCCTAGAGATGATTGCAGAGAATTATCAGCTAAATCTGCAGCTCCACTGTTTTCAGAGCTTTATGGTCATTGTTTAGCTGGCCGGCAACAACAGACACAGTTAGCAACTCGGTGGTCAACATAGTGGAACATTTAGCAGCTAAAGAGCAGTGTGGGTAAAGTGGTAGAAACCAAAAACAGAGCGAATAGATAGGAAATATTGGACATTGCTTTGTGTAATCTGTAATGGCTAAATAAGCCAATGTCTGCTTACAAGTTGTGTTCACAACTTGTTTCTGCTATCCCATAGTGACCAAGAAATCGGTTACTGCAGGTTTAAGTTACTTTCAAAGATTAGGATTTGGCATTTTTGCCTCAATTCAAGAGAGGACAGTGTAGAAATGGGGGAGAGAGTAGTATGCCATGCACCAAGTGCATGTGCGGCTGACCTGTGAGTCGTCTGCATAAAGCAGCAATTAGGCAGGAAACAGAGTAGGGCCCAAACACAGACACAGGGAAAGCAGGAGGACCATGCAGAAATTAGCTAAATGACAAATAAAAATGGAATAAGGTACACAGGGATAAGTAGTGCAAAGGCACAACAGATACAGCCAGGAAACATGACACAAAAGACAGGACTATAAATACACCAGAATCTAATCAGAAAACAAGACACAGGTGGGCAAACATGAGGGAAGCTGAAAGCTGATTGGTGTAAGAAACAAATGGGAACGGAGCGAAGCTAACGAGACTAATACAACACAGGTGATTCACAGAAAAAAGGAGCGAAAAACCATAAAGACAGGAAGTCAAACAACCACAAGACACAAGAGGCAAGGAACTTGAAAATATAACAGGAAACAAACTAAACACAAACCAAGATCATGACAGTCCAGCTACATCGACAAAGCAAGGAGAAAGTCGGATTACAACACACAGCGACTTCATTCTCTGCTCAGTTAGACTTTAAGCCACTATATCTTTACACAGCAAATAGTGTCTTGCTGCTATATCAGTGCTCTGAATCCTGTACATCGCACCTTTAAGAAACAAAAAGTAAAAGCAAATGGGATGACAGAGAAAGATTTGTGTGATTTGCATCTTCTTTTGATGTTATGTGTTGGTTTTCATGTTGTTCTTTTGGTGGAACTGAAATTGCGAATACAGAATGGTGTAATCAGTACAGGTCATGTACCAGCCTCCTGCCCACTATAGACAGTTATTGGCTCCAGTTCCTCTCACTTGGGCATGGTTGGATAAATAAAGAATAAATAACTACTTGGTTTTTAACTGCAGTATGATTGTTAGTCCACATGACATTAGCACATTTGCCTGTGTGTTGATACCCACAACGTGCGTCCTCTGCACAGGTGGACATCAGTTTGGGGATGGACCACGGCGACCTGTCGGACTTTGTGGAGAACGTGGAGTGGGAGTGTCACGGCATGCCGGCGGTCAGAAATGTCATGATGTACGGCTGCTGCTCCGACCCCTACACCGATATCACCTACACCCTGCTCCTGAAGCGCCGCTCCTCTTTCTACATCTTCAACCTGCTCCTGCCCTGCTTCCTCATCTCGTTCCTGGCCCCGCTGGGCTTCTACCTGCCGGCCGACTCGGGGGAGAAGGTTTCCCTCGGGGTGACGGTGCTGCTGGCGCTCACCGTGTTCCAGTTGCTGGTGGCTGAGAGCATGCCTCCTGCAGAGAGCATGCCCTACATAGGTTTGAATTATTTTCTCCACATTCACTTTTGCCTCATTATTGAACTATAGAAACTATACAAGAATACAAAGTTATGGATCATGAAGATAAAAATATTTATAGTAAGTCAACAGTAGAAGATACTCAGTCAAGATTTTGACTTAGTAATTCTCAATATTTGCTTAATGTCTTATACTCTTGACTTATCATGTCATAAGTTTGACTTATCATGAGTATTTGATATCATGAATAACTTCATCCATTTTCCTGGCAGAAATGGGCTTCCGTATAAAACTAATTTATGCATCTTGGACATAAACCCGTCAGTTAAATAGTGTGTCTATGTATAAAGATGTATCAAGGACAAGACACTTCCATGGCATGTCTTTCCTGATCATTGCTGTTGTATGTGAATGCTCAACGTCGTAGTCTACAAATCAGGGCTGCTATGTATGTGTTGTCTTACCCCTCCATGAATCTGTCCTGTCTGTTGTCCTCTCCTCTAGGGAAGTACTACATAGCCACCATGACTATGATCACAGCCTCCACGTCTCTCACCATCTTCATCATGAATATTCATTTCTGTGGCGCCGAGGCCAAGCCGGTCCCTCACTGGGCTAAGGTGCTCATCATTGACTACATGTCCAAAATCTTCTTCGTCTACGAGGTGGGGGAGAACTGCACCACGGCTGAGAGTGAGAAGACCCCGCTGTACCCGGAGGAACCCGCCAACGACGGTGGCAGAGGCGGCCACCGCGACAACCATTTCCCTGAATACCACCACAACGGCGACCCGTACGAGTACAGCAACGGCCACGGCGTGCGCCATCACGGCAAGCATCACAAAAGCCAGGCGAATGGCAACGCCAACAACAGCCGCCACCAGTACAACCACAACAGCAACCACACAGCCAGGCTGGAGAGGGGCGAAGGGAAGCGAGAGCCCACACAGCGCTACCACCACATTGGGAGGGACGAGTTGGACTACCAGGCCTCTCCTCATCCGCGAAACCTCCGACACCTCAACAGAGGGCCGAAGGAGCAACTCCTCTACCCCACGGAGAAACTTGAAGTCCCAGCCTGCCCCTGCTGCTGCCCCTGCCTCCAGCATAAACAGGTGCGTCCACTGTGGCATCTCCGTTTACCCACTTATCTGATTAGTTCTCCAAAAGTTTCTTTCTGGTTCGTCTGTGTCTCATCCTCAGGTGGTGAAGAACATCCAGTTCATCGCCAACTGCTTCCGTGAGCAGAAGGCCACTTGTGTCAAGGCCGCAGAGTGGAAGAAGGTTGCCAAGGTGATGGACAGGTTTTTCATGTGGATATTCTTCTTCATGGTCTTCCTCATGAGCATCCTCATCATCGCCAAGGCATCCTGACAGCCTCCATCATCTTATTACCATTGCGATAACTTCCGTCCTCCCGTCATCGCTGGAGCTCAGCACTACTCAAGACTCATCCTCATTTTTACTTTGATGCAACACCAAATTACTGTTTTATATGTGTGTCAGCATTGTGTTGTGTGTGTGTGTGTGTGTGTGTGTGTGTGTGTGTGTGTGTGTGTGTGTGTGTGTGTGTGTACGCGTGTGCAGGTTCATTGTTACTTTTTTGCTTTGACATAAAGAGGAAAAGGTCACCGCGCACAAGTCATCCAATTAACCGCGCGGGCGCGGGGAGCTCATCAAAGCCTCTCGCTTCATTAACGTCAGGTGTGCTTGCATGTGTGACGGAGCAGTTGAGCGGTTAGACAATCCCGGCCACGCCTTGAACATGCATGAACTCTCCATTATGGATGAGCTAACAGAGAGACATCCAGCTATAGGCGTCTTATTACTTACACTACGTTTTAGGGTGAATGGATGATGCCATTTTCCAGAGTCGGTTACATTGAGAGCACCAGCAGATTAACCTTGATAGGAGACACCTCAGGCGAATGAGGTAACAAATATTAAACTAACAGATGTCAGCATGAAACTTCCACAGCTGATTACTTACATCGAGACAAGTATTTGTCTGAATTACAAGTTTTCTGAAAATGTTACATTTAAATATCCAAATATCTAATGCTGACTTTTGATACATTTATCAAAAGTCATGGACGCAAATAGACAAAGTAGTAAAATAAATACCTAAATGTGTGTTTTTTTTTAATTTCCACTAGTCTGAAAGACACAAAATAGTCCAACATCTCAAAATGTACCAGTTGCTGGAAAAGCATGTTTTTACCTGGGGTGTCTCGACTTATGAAACAACCTCATACATGATCAGAAAGAGGGCGAATCCCATGGCCTTCCTTGGTGATCATTAGTCTTTAGTGTTTTTCTAGTCTAGATGTTAAGAAACTGGTTTACGTGAATTGTGAATACTTGAGTGAGACTTTGAGAGAAAGAGTGAATGTTTACTTTACTCACATATTTAGACCTTAAAGCCTACTACCTCCACAGCGTAAACTGTGAATGTACTGTACCTTTTGACTCATTTTAACACTCCGCTCATTGGTCCAGTAAAAAACTTTGATATTAAATATGGTTTTACTCACTGTCTCAGCAGTTTTGCGTTACGATACAAATCTAATTTGTTTTACATGATGAAACTGTCAATTTCTGTATTTCTTTTTTTTTAAATATATAAAATCTCTTTTCATTGCCTCATACTTTTTTTTTAAACATATTCTGAAAAGTCATTCCCCTTGATCTGTTTGGAAAGCAACAGGAAGGTAAGAATAGGCAAATATCTCTTTTTAACGATACTGAAATGTAGTTAATCATTGCAATACTATGAGCCATCATTAAGGACACACGCACACACACACATACACACGGTGTGACAGACATGACGCTCTACACACAGTTCAGCAGGCAGGCGATTGAATGAACTTTGTTGTTTAGTTCATTCAATCGCCTGTGAGAGCCTCTAGAGGGCAGATATGCTATAATCAGAATGTTCAGTTACTGACTGAACAAATGGTACATGCATAACAAAGAGAACATGTAAGCACATATATTTAGAAAGTCTTGTATAGACAGCTTTAAGATATCAAAAGACATCTGTGAAGTTTATAAGATCCGCTTCTTGGGCTATGAGATGTAACAGTACAATTTTTGAAAGAAGAGGTAAAAAAAAAGCTACATTAATTTAGCATATTGTTCAGCCCAGTGCTGAACAATGAGTCTTCAACATCAAGACAATACTTGGAAAAAAATAGATCCTTCTATCGAAACAATAAATCAATGGGATTCCCCCACTAGTGAGCCCTCTTATTCAAGATTTGATTGTGACAGATACAGCAAAAGAGGACTAAAATAAGAGCATTAGTGATGATAAACTAAATAAAACAAACATGTGTAGTGCCTTGAATAAACAAATTAAGTTAAATTAACATCTTAGTTCCTAGTTTTGTGTGATTTAATATCATTTCTAATTTACTAATAAAAAACTTAAAAACAGCCAGTCTTAAGTCTTTGTTAAGGCAGGATTTAAATAGAGTCAATGAAGTAATAAGTCACAAAAAGAGTTGTCGTAACACAATCAATGTGGTACAAAAGAATTGACAACAGACTGTGAGGTTTCAGCAGCACACCATGATAGAAACAATCAATAACTTGTCTGGTAGATAACATTACACACACTGACCTCCGCTTCCGTCTAGTGGAGCTCGTAAACCAATACACACTGTGTACATTTCATGTATCAATTTAAGTGTAGAACATCTGGAGATGCAGCACTAACAGCATGTATGAATGTTTTTTAAATACATTTCTAGCCATTACAGTGGCAATGTTGGTCTGTTGGTCGGTCCAAACTGAAATATCTCAACAACTATTAAATAAACTTTTGTTCACACTTTCCTGACCCCCTCAGGAAGAGTTGTAGTAATTTAGAGATCCTTGGACATTTTTTTTTTTCTCTAGTGCCACCATCAGGTCAAATACTTTGGTTCATGGTCTAATACCCAGACAACTAATGACAGCAGTGTCAGCTGTTATTTCTGTTTAGAGCTGATTAGCAAATAGCCAAACTAAGGTGGTGAACATTATACACCTGCTAAACATCAGCATGTTGGCATCATCGTTGCCAGCCTGTAAGCATGTTCTGATACATTTTTTGGAACCAGTGTTGCACGAGAGCATGGTGGAATTAGCGAACTTGCTAAGAAGCCATATTACCGACAATGAAGCTTGCTAGAGCGCTGATTCACAGTTTAACATCTGTATGCAATGTCCATTCTGGCACCCACCAATACAAAAAGATGACATTTTCCATGTGTAACTTTAGCCACCACTCTGAGGTGAGTTGTGTTTGCCTGCAGTCTTTCCTTTGTTTTCTCTCCGACCAACAGACGTAACCATGGTGTTGGCTGTAAAGGGTCTATTGATCCCTGGTGGTTCCTCAATGACAATTAATCACTTTTAAGATAAAGAGACACAGCACTCAAATGACGAGTCTGTTGGACTTTGATCACACCCCACAAACCCCTCTTGTACAGTAGGCTATCCCTGCCTGCTTCCCAGATCTTTGCCTCAGCTGGACCATTGACCTCTTGTCTACTCAGAGATAAGATCTGCTGTTCTGAGTGTTTCAGAGACAGACTATTGCTCCACACTATATGCGGACTGATATTCGAAAGACGATGATGGTGATGGTTAGAGTTCAGAGGGGGTTACACATCATAGGGCCAGACACACCCACAAGGTTGGGATCTATATAGCTGTTCTGTTCTCTTTTCTTCTTGATTCATAGAGCCACGTGACGAGAATCAGCATGTCCTCCATTAGCAAGCAGCTGTCTTCTATCAGCTGTGCAGGTAGGTTGGGATTCATGTTTATTTCTTTGACCGGATCCTTTCTTTCTGTCTTTCTTTCATTTGAACTAGAGCTGTCACGATCAGATTTTCACTACTCAATTATTGTGGCCAAAATCATTAATGAAAACGATTATATTGCGCTATCCATGGATGATTTGATATTATCATATGTGTATTATTAACATATTTAATCTAAATCTTTTTTTGTCTCTTAAGGCAAGAGGCCATCTTCCTCCTCCGCTGAGATCAGATTGGTTTTGCTTGGGAAGACTGGCAGCGGGAAAAGCTCCACCGCCAACTCCATCTTGGGCCGTAAGGTCTTCGACTCAAAGATTAGCAGCTCCTCCGTCACACAACGTGGTTGCACGGTCTCCGGAGAGTTTCGAGGGCGACACCTGAAGATCCTGGACACTCCGGGGCTTCTGGACACCAAGCAGACTCCACAGGAGGTGCAAAAGGAGTTGAGGAGGAGTGTTAGCCTCCTCTACCCCGGGCCCCATGTGTTCCTTCTTGTTATCCAGATTGGGAGGTTTACTCAGGGGGAGAAGGATGCGGTGCGGCAGATTAAACAGGCAATAGGTTTCAATGCTCTGAATTTCTCCGTGGTGGTTTTTACCCATGCAGACCTTCTGGAAGAGAGGACATCCATAAAGCATTGTCTGATAGACAGGTCCAAGGATCTTGCCGAGCTGGTGGGAGGATGTGGGGGCAGGTACTGTGTCTTCAACAACCAGAGCTCCAAGAACAAGGAGCAGGTCTCAGAGCTGCTTGCCTTGGTGGACATCATGATGCAGGGTAATGGAGGAACGTGCTACGGCAGCAAGTTGCTCCAGAAAGCAGAGGAAGATCTGACTCGGGAGCTACAGGAGGAGAGGCGGCTGCTGAACGAGAAGGAGGAGCTGTTAAAAAAGAAGCAGGAGGCAGCCGTAAGAGAGTTGTATGAAAAAAAACTTGAGATGGTTCAGCAAAAAAGCAAGAGGGAGACGGAGGAGCTGGAGAAAAAACAGGAGCAGGAGAAGCAGAAGGGGGAGAAACTGACAAGAGATCTGCAGGAGGCCTTTAGACAAGTAGAGGAGTATGACAAGAAGGAGAAGGAGAGGAGGATACAGGAGATGGTGAGAGTGATGGAGATACGTAGAGAGGAGGAGGAGAAGAGGGTCGCTCTTCAAGATACGCTTGACCAAGTCACTAAAACGCTTGAGGAGCAGGAGGAACAGGAGGAGGAAATGACAAGAGCGATGGAGGAGAAGATCCAAAAGGACAGAGTGGAGCATGAAAAGAAGCAGAGAGAGAGGGAACTTCAGCAAATACAGAAAGAGCAGAGGGAGGAGATGAGGAGAGAGGCTCTGGAGAAAGAGCTGGATGAAGTCACCCAGTGCTTGGAGGAGCAGAGCAGGAGGGAGGGGGACAGGAAAAAGCAAATGGAGGACTTGCTCCGACGTGAGAGGGAGGAGCACCAGAGAGAAAGGGACATACAGATGGAGAATCAGAAAGCCGAGAACAGGAGAACCATGGCCCTCAAGCACGAGCTAAAACTCATCAGGGCGAAGGTTGAGCAACAAAAAGTGAGCGAGGAGAACCTCAAGAGGCAGCTGGAGGAGAACCTGCGGAGGGAGAGGGAAAGGTGCGACAAGGGAATGTATACTTTGAAAAAGCAGTTTCACAAGAAGTCGTGCAACGAGACGACCCAGAAGAAGTCTGCGGAGAAACACAGCTCAATGACTACTGTGGCTGGATATGCGCAAGAAATGGGACTGGTAGGGCTGAACGCAGCTTTAGAGAGTGTCAGAGCTCCCTGCTGTATACAGTAACATGAACCTTTTTACTGTGGATTTATCATTTTAAAGCATAAATAAACTCATTGTTACTGTCTTTTTTTCAAGCATATGTGTAAAGGTACAATATTGTGACTTTTAAATTGTTATTGTTATTAGATTTAACCATTAATTCCCACTTGCAAAGGACATTTAAATGAACACAATGTGATTTCAACAAAATGTATTTAATTCCAGAGAGTCCTAAATCAGAAAATGCACAGAAAATTGTACAAACTCTCAAAAATGCTGGAGATAATCTGATTATCAACTCCCGCCTCTGGTTTGGAGTGCCTGATTCTGTCTGCATCATCTCGATCTGTATTCAAACAAAACCCTGTTGCCATTAAAGATCAAATATGGCTTGAGTGCTATTTTATTTTAAGTGTTCCTCACTGGTGCTCCAACTTCAGCTGGGCCATCTTGTTCTGCCTCTGGGGCAAAACGTCTGCTTTTATCCAGCATGTCCTGTGTGTGTGTTTGTGTGTGTGTGTGTGTGTGTGTGTGTGTGTGTGTGTGTGTGACATAGAGAGCTGTCTACAGTAAAATGAGGCTACGGCAAGCAGCTGGTTAGCTTAGATTAGCATAAAGACTGGAAACGGGGGGAAACAGCTAGCCTGGATCTGTCAAGAGGTAGCAAAATCAACACAAGCTAAATGTGCTCGTGAAGCCTGGCAATCACAAGATCATGATAAGAAGGAGAAAGGCCGACAAGAGTATACCAGCAAGGGAGCAATTTGCTACTGTGGACGGGGCTGTAGAAAAATGTATTTTAGTCACCTAAAAGAGAGGCCCACCTAAAAAAATATATATCAGTTGCTATATTTTAAATATTGTCCGACGGGAACTTTCAGTTCTGTTCCCCGTCGAAGAGGGATGTCTGACAGCAAGATAAAGCGGTGAAAATATACTTATTATAGTGTGTATTAGTGTGTGTAAATATATGTTTTTAAGTGGACCCTGCGTGGACTATCTCACTCTTTATACTACATCACTTGTTCTGAGAGTCTAATAATGACGCGGGCAAAATGCATTTGAATATATGACTGTAACAGTCACTTGTAACTTTGCTCTTTTGTAATTAGAAAAGCAACTCAACGTGAATCCACTCAGACAGATTTGTGAGTTGAGTCTCTTGACCCTCTCGCTCATATATCTGCTGCACAGAGAATTGTGGATCAAAATAGCCAGAAAAGATGAAATAGGGAAATTGGTGACAAATATGAAGGAAATTACTGGGGTATTAGAACGTTTTTACAGCACACTTTATAAATCAGAGGCTGATCCAGAGGAGGGTAATCGTGAAAAAACTGCTATCTCTTTAATGAAGCCCTAAAAATACACAAAGAACGTGTACGAAGAATCATCAGGAGAGCTACCAAAAACATACAACAAAGCTCTGATATCATTAATCGTTAAAAAATATAAAGACCCCACCGACCCTGGAAATTATAGACCTTGTGAGTTTGATTAATATGGACTGCAAAATCCTCACAAAGATTTTGGCTATGAGGCTGGAAGCTATTCTACCACGCTTAATACATGCAGATCAAGATTCATAAAGGGAAGGTCATCCACTAACAACGTCAGACGTCTGTTACATCTTAATCGTGATGAAACCACTCCCATAGCTGCCTTCTCTTTGATGCTCAAAAGGCATTTGATATAGAGTGGACCTTCTTGCGGCATATAAAAATATTTGGGTATGGGGAAGCTTTTATTAATGTAATTTATTCAAATCCACGAGCAACAGTGATAACAAACGGAATGATATCACCCCTCTTCAACCTGATGAGACCCTCTTATCCCCCTACTCTTTACGCTATACTTGGAACCTTTTAATATGGTCCCTTTAATGCAACAAATTAAGGCAAATTTAGACAAATGGAAATTGATGAATCTCAACCTTATTTTTTAAAGCAACAACAGGATTATCATTGACCACATTAATAAGTCCACAAAAGTAAGTTCATGGGATGGGTCAAATGAGATAACTACAAAAAAATACGTTGAATATCTGTTGTTCACACAAAGTCAAATACACCAGGTGGAAAGCAGAGAGTCACCAGAAGGGAAGTGAGGCGTGAAGGATGACATCATTTTTGAAATATCTTTTATGACTGAATGATTTCAGCTCCTGTTTCTCAACCACATCCTGTGACATGTGTGTCCAGTTCATTTTAAGTAAATATATGAACAGATGAGTTGGCTCTCTCTCTCGTTTTAACTTATTATACTGTTCAGCATTACCTTGAGTTGGGCGATCATTCAATACAATAATTTGTCATCTTTCCATGGAATAATATTGTGAGATTGTGATACAATTACGTTTTTTAAATTGTTAACAACAAGCAGGACTTACATTTCTCAGAAATGGGATAATTTTGCACTAAAGCTCTTAATAAAATGAGAAAATACTTTTCATTTGTAAAGTATTTAATTTACACACTATAGGCTACTATAACAAACATGCATTTATTTAATATAAACTATTTATTGATTGAACAATCAGAAAACATGCAATATTGTGATATATATACATTTTTTCTCGTTTTCCAGTTTTGTTTTCATCTATTAGAGTGTAGATTGTTCAGTACTTTATGTGCCTGATTGTATTTAGCCATGCTAAAATATAAAGCACTTCTTTGTCATGAAAGGTGCTGTATAAATAAAAAACAAATAGTTATTACTATAGTCTGATGTTGCAAGCAGCTCAGTCCTACTAATGGCACAGTGGGACTTAAATTAATACAGCTCAATGTCTTCGTCTTTTCTGTCAAACTTCTCTCAGCGCCGAGCGTCTCTGCGCGCTGTGTGTTATGGGTGCACCAGCTGGTGGTGCATGTGTTCCCCCAGCAAAATCTGCTCTGCGCTCGGAGCAGCAACGCAGATCAGTCCGCATGGAGCAGGACGGGCGCTCAACACTCCGAGGGACTTTGTTTTTTCTGTTAATGGGACGAACGGATGGATTTCTTCTCGTCCTTCTAGTTTGACTAATGGCATAGCGCAGGACCGGGCAATGAATAACACCACCGGCTTGGCTCTGGTAGGAGCCGGCGTACCTGCGGAGGTACCTGCGCACCGAGCTCTAACGGGCTGCGTCCTGGCGCTGCTCATCGTCTGGACGCTTTTTGGCAACTTCACGGTGTGCGCCGCCGTCTGTCGCTTCCGGCACCTGCGCGCCAAAGTGACCAACATATTTATCGTGTCCCTGGCTCTGTCGGACCTCCTGGTCGCCGTGCTGGTGATGCCGTGGAAAGCCGCGGCTGAGGTGGCCGGCTTCTGGCCGTTCGGCGGGTTCTGCAAAACCTGGCTGGCCTGCGACATCATGTGCTCCACGGCCTCCATCCTCAACCTGTGCGTCATCAGCGTGGACCGATACTGGGCAATCTCCAGCCCGTTCCTCTACGAGAGGAGAATGAACAAGAAGGTGGCCTCTGTGATGATCGGCGTGACCTGGACGATATCCGTGGTCATCTCCTTCGTGCCCGTGCATCTGAACTGGCACCGCGCGGACGCGGCTGATCCGGCCGAGGATCACGCGCCTCGCGGTGAGAGCGTTGACGGGAGCTGTGACTCCAGCTTGAGCCGCACATACGCCATCTCCTCCTCCGTCATCAGCTTTTACATCCCCGTGGCTGTCATGATCGTCACGTACACCCGCATCTACCGGATAGCCCAGATGCAGATCCAGATGATATCCTCCCTGGAGCGGGCGGCGGAGCACGCGCAGAGTTGCCGCTCGAACGTACCTGTGTGTCCTCACCTGTGCACAGAAATAGGCACCAATTCCGATCAGTTGCATGTCAGTCTTCATCCCGAGTCTCAGCGCCCCAATGAGTCCCACCAGGAGCTCAAAGTCTCCATCAGAAAGGAGACGAAGGTCCTCAAAACTCTGAGCACCATCATGGGTGTTTTTGTGTCCTGCTGGTTGCCATTCTTTGTCCTGAACTGCGCTCTGCCCTTCTGTCCCGGGCCAAAGGCCAAGGGGGCCCGACAGGGCCCTCACTGCGTCGGCGAGAAAACATTCGACGTATTCGTGTGGATCGGCTGGAGCAACTCGTCCCTCAACCCGATCATCTACGCGTTCAACGCGGACTTCAGAGACGCTTTCCTACGGCTGTTGCGCTGCCGCGGACGCGGCTGCTGTACCGCGGTGAATGCAGCGGCGGGGACGGCGATGGCGAGCAACGAGGCCGGACGCCCGAGGCGCGAGAGTCCGCTGAACGTGAAGCCGGACGTCTCCTGCGCCACGACTCTCAGGGGGAGCGAGGACAGCGGGAACACACCGGTGACGGTGTTGTACCACAGAGGGACGACAACGGAGCAGGTGATGGACACCGAGGAGCGCCACGACAAGGACGGACTGACGCGGATACCGATATAAGTGACACCACTTGTGAAATCCTGCGGGACAAAACATGCAGAGAAGGTGTTATAGGACAGAGTAGGAAATAAGAAGCATTAAAGCAAAATTTACTCCAGAGGTCATCAACGTGAAGAAATAGCTCCACTACAAGATACAAAATATCTCCTATCCCTATTTGTACCATGAAAAACGGTGTTTTCACTAGTAAATCTTCTGGCATAATTAGAGGCGTTTGAGCTATTTGTATCTGTCTGTGGGCTTTATAGCTTATTTGTGTTCAAAGTGTACCCAACAAACATTTGGCAGTCTTTATAAAATGCATAACATTTTGTTTTGAGCTTGTAAAAATAATGTTTTCCTTTTCCCTGAGCAGGACAAACAGGGCCAGAACAGGGTATGACTAAAGCAAGATGAATAAATGGAGAGATGACTGAGTTTTACTTTTTTTTTTTTTTTTATCAAATCAAGTTAAAGACAAACTCAAAAGGAAAGAAAGCCTTTCATTGTACATTGACCTTACATTCACATTTGCTGAATAAACATGAATAGAATTCCGTGGAGAGACAACTATCATGAGGTCAGGATTTCTCTGAATCTCTAGAAATGGGATTATGTAACTAACTCACATTAGCACCCGTCAGCTGTGCCATCTTGTGTGGATGCACTCTGCCCCCCCCCCCCCCCCCCCCCCCCCTTTATCCACTGAAAGAAACAAACATGAATAATTTGTAAAGGTTGTTCCTGTGAAAGATGCCCCGACCAGCAAGAACACAGAAGCTTTTTACGGTCACAACCCTGCTCCGCAATGAACTCTCCACAGAGTAACATCTGTTCATTTCTGTTTAATGAGACCTCCTTGTTAGTTTTCAATATGAAAGCGTGTGGTACAGCCTCGAGGGACCACCAGTCTTAACGGGGCCGACCAGATTCATGATTCCATACTGAGCTGCAAATACTTTGGTGGTTGTGATTAAATTGCAGTTACAGGATATGAAGGAACAGTTCTTGCACTTTTTCCTGCCGAGAGTTAGGTGAGAAGATTGATACCTTTCTCATATCTGTCCATCAAATATGAAGCCACAGCCAGCAGCAAGTTAGCTTAGCACAAAAACTGGAAACAGAGGGGGACAGCTCAGCTAGACCTACGATTACCCATAACACCTTTCTCTAAGTAAGTTCGTAAAGATGTTTACGTGTATTGAGAATCATAATTCCAACTTCAGGTGAGAATTTTGCAACCAGCAGTTAGCTTAGCCTAGCATAAAAAACATGGCTATCCTGGTTCTGTACAAAGGTAACAAAATCCACCGACTAACATTTATCAAATCTGATTGAAATTGTTTTCCATTCTGTTTATGACTAAAGAACAGGTGGAAAAAAGATTTTGTCATGACAATCTTTTTCTAAGTCCCTTAATATCTTTTTTTAATCTGTAAAACAGGTGAAAAAAAGTTTTGCCAGGGTAGGCCTAATCTTTTTAAAAGTAAATGATTGTCATTTCGACCACAAGAGGGTTAAAGTGAACCACTACCCCATGTTCTAAAAGCATTCATGTTTCTTGCAGGTGAGGTTAAGTTCTCGATGCACTCTAGGTGCAGCAAATAATATTGCTAACACACGATATGTAACGTGGGGTAGTGGTGCACTTCAACCTCTTGTGGCCGAATTGAGAATTACAACAACAAACCCACAAAAATGTTGTCTCCTGCCACTTGCTTTAACAGATTATCCCGGCAAACCCCTTTTTTCACCTGTTCTTATATCATAAACACAGGAGAGAAAACAATTTTGACCAGATTTAGAAAATGATCACCAGAATTTTTTTCTCTGGCTTTTGTAATTCACTTTGTGTGCCGGATTATTTCTTGTTTACAGGCAACCAGTGCAGACTCCAGGAAATTGGTGTTACTCCTAGCTGAGATATATGCCTCATTTCCACTTCACAGTTTTGCCTCGACTTAAGTTAAGTCGAGTTTTGACTCGATTTAACTCACTTTTGGTACCAAGTCGTTCACTCTTTTTTGTTTTCCACTGCAGATATTGCCCCCTCAGTGTCGGTGGGATTTTCAGCTGATCGGCATAGCTACGCCATGTGAAACTGAAATCATCTTCAATGCTGCACTTGCTGAATCCTTTCATCCACTACCAAACAGAGGAACGCCTGCACTTTATTAATCATATAATGTTTTGCAGGCTTCTACTTTTTTTTAAAATGTGGGCTGAGTGAATAAAAAAATTGTGCTCGGTATTGACGGCAGCATGGCTATTTAAAAACGGCGTGTTTGTGAAGGATTTCCAGTGTCACACTAATGACAATTCTCTCTGACCAATCAGTGGTCTGCAGTTTTAACACCTTCTAGGATGGTCTCAGCTCGCTTGGAACCTCCACCAAGGTGATAAGTACCACGTTCTATGCTCCAGTTTTTATAATGGAAAACCAAAAATGAGCAAGTCTAGAGTAGAGCCGTACTGTACTGTGCAGTGGAAATATAGTAAGACACTGAGTGGTTGTAATTCGTAAGCTTTAGAGGTACTGCTCAGCATATTTTGCATAGACTGTAAGAAGAGGACGTAGTCATCTTGACGTCGTTTTGAAGCCTCGAGTTCGGTAATTTTACTATCACCATCTTGGATTACGGCCGTGGCAGTTTTTTTTTTGCAACCAATGAACAGAAGTTCCCATATTTGGAATGTGGAGGAGTGCAAAGAGATGCCGTGCTCTGGTAGCGGCAGCGCCCTGTCAATAACGCGCCCTAAAGCATACTCTGCTTTATGGTCTATTTGACTCTAAATGGACCATCATTTACTAAATTAACATCTTGCTGTATTGAAGAAGACTTGAAACTAGAGATTGAGACCATCAACTCATGTTTACAATGTTTACTGAGGATATAAATTAAGTGAGAAGTAGAGACATTTTCTCATAGACTTCTATACAATCTGACTTCTTTTATTAAACCGGAGGAGTCGCCCTCTGCTGGTCAGTAGAGTGAATGCAAGTTTTAAGACACTTCAGCATTGGCTTCACTCTGCAGAACTGCAGTTGCCGTCTGCTGTTTTGCTACCTTTTGACAGAGCTACGCTAGCTGTGTCCTGTTTCCAGCTAAGCTAAGCTAACGAGCTGCTGACTCCAGTTATATGTTAAATGTAAAGAAGACAGGAAAGCAGTATGGATCTTCTCATCTAACTCTCAGCTAGGGCTGGGCGATAATTCAATTTAATAATGTTTTGTCTTTTAATGGAATCTTAGCGTGATAAAATCATATATTCGAAATACACAGTTACGTTGTCTTAACTGAAATCTAATTTCTCAGAAAATCTGATATACTATGGATCAGTGCAACAACTAATGGACTGTCTTAATTTCCCATTTCACTGAAAATGTATACAGTTATCACATGTATTATCTGTATTACACCAGTGACAACAGGTTTGTGTTTATTCTGATCATGCAGGAGTGAGAAAACAGCAAGAAGGCACATCCGTATAAGTGTTTCTAGAGCGGAAGCGTGTGCAGCCTCGCGGTGTTCGCGGTGTAATGGGCTTGTAACCTACATAGGACATCCATCAGCTGTAGGCGTCTCCAACTGTATGTAAGAATAGCCACCATACCAAAGAGGATTAATAAAACATAGGTCGAATGCATTTTTAAATATGTGTCTCCCATTTACAGTCGCCATATGCAGGTTACTGAGTGAGAAAAAGTCATCACAGGCTGTTCAGAGAGAAGTGTGCTGGGGTCCTTTCTCTGAGGAATGATAAAGTGATTACATCTATTAATATTGACTGACTAATGGCTGCCCTTGTTTCATTGCTCCGCCGTCTACTTTCTCATGTCACCCAAAAAGGAGCTCACTTCATCAAGAGTGGCTTTGTTCACTTGGGGAAACTTTTAATGGGCCACATCTGCCCACCTTGAATGTGTGAGAGTTAAATGAGCCCACGAGGCTCCAGACAGGACAGAGAGAGAGAGAGAGAGAGAGAGAGAGAGAGAGAGAGAGAGAGAGAGCGAGAGAGAGAGAAAGAGTTACAAAGATTTACAGAATTGTGTAGGCCTACTGCAAAGGCAGGCCACTGTAATTACCGCTGGACAGATATTCCCATTCAAATCAATGTAGCAGAATGGTGAGAGCGGCGCCATTTTTTACCGTTGTCAATGCGACCAGTGTAGCAGGCTAACTTCCGTATTAACTCAGCCAACTTATGGTAAGTTGAGGACTCACTGAGGTGAGACGAACAGTGGAGTTGTAATGTTACGAAGCATAGAGAGCCAGAGTAAAAGAGTCAATTTAAACAACTTAATGCTTCATACAATCACAGTGTAGAACACCAGAGGAGTGACAACTTAGTCCGACTTATTTTTGAAGTAGAGTCATTTTCTCATAGACTTCAATGCTTCTTTTTGCAACCAGAGGAGTCGCTTTAGAAGTGGGTTCACAGCCTGGCTGAGTTAGAAGTGTCAAAGAAAGGTTATGTTTTTAAGCTTAAATAACTATAATTTTGTGGTCAGTGAAAAAACTGATCACTTTTAAAAAAAGAACCTATGCTGATTGTGGAGAATGGAAAAGGAAAAGTAGTCTCCCATTCCAAGGTCCAATGCTTTGTCTACCCATCCGTCCACCCACCCATTTATAACCGTCACTCTAATTCTTAACGTTTTTTTGGGGCAGGCCAGTCACAGGGAGTAAACTATGTTATAGTTAAGTGTTGGTGACCGGTTGTGACACGTCTTTACAAGTTAAAGGTTAAGAAGCTGCTAATAGTTCAACCATAATTGAATTAATTTTTTGCCGTAAAACTATAAAATATTCAATGAGAAAAAAGGAGAAAAATCCCCCTAAATTGACCACATTTTGTGAAGCAGGTTTCATATTTTCATTCCTGTCTTTCCGATGATGGTGAGACCCCTCATATTTATCTTACCTCTTTTATATTTTTGAGTTGTGACCCCGAAAAACAACAATATCTTCTTGTTATCTAAGGTTTTTAACAGTTCCAGAGAAAAATTGTTGCCCTCTAAACTTCTCAAAAACCATAAAAAAAAAAGAAAAAAATGCAAACAAAGGTCGTAAGAATAGAAAATGTGTGTATCAGACTGTTTTTCCTTCCTGCCTGTACAACGAATCTCCTTGTGACCCCTAAGATTTCTCTATTATTGCATATATATTTGCGGTTGGAAATCACTGCTTTAGGTAAACGTGTCTTTCCATTCATGTAGATTCATCTCATGGAATACAGAGTCAACATGTTGTTGTTTATAAGTTGACAAAACGCATAATCTTTCAACCTATTACTCAAGAGACAATTTTGAAAGCACAGACTTATTTTTAGAATTCACAACTTGAACGGGCAAATATAAAATATGTTTTCCACATCATTGTAAATATCTCATTGAATGAGAAATGCGCTTTTATATGTTAAAGATATTGACCGATGGATTTGCTTTGACCTCCCACTTTCTTTGTCCTCTGATTCAGTTTGTAAAGTCTCTCCTTCCAAAAGTCCTTATAATCCCTGACAATTCGGTTTCTGTGGGGACATAGGATCAGATCGCTGCATTGTTTTTCTGCAATAATCCTGGTAGTGGATGGAGAGGTCCCTGGTCTCTGCATTATTAATAATATATGAACAACACATGTAGTCCGATTTAGTCCTGGTTTAATCATGTCTATAAGCACACAACCTTTTCAATGATTTATTAGTTTCCTTAGTTTAAACTTTAAACTAAGGAACTTAGAGAGAGATTACAAAAAAAAGAATTTGATAATACAGAAGCCAATTATTTGTCAAAAGACCTCATCAACAAGAAGTCCCAGCGAACAGCCACATGTGGCCGGGGCAGCTGGGAGGACACAGCTGGCTGCCGGTTTTCATTCCTGCTGCCGTGTGGAGCAGTTGAATTATTTGTGAACGCTTCTCACAGTGTCCGCCTAACCTCTAAAAATAGACCAGTGCGAGACACACACACACACACAAAGAGAGAGAGTCGTCATGGTTTGAGTCTTACTGGTCAGGAAACAATCCCGATACATTCGAGGATAAAGTCATATCCAGCGGCAGGAATCAGAACCTGTTCCCTTAGTTGCGTTAGAGGATTTGAGTTTAGTAAAATAACATAAAAAGTACACTTTCACATTGGGATTAGTCAAGATAGAAAACGGCATCATAAAGAATACAACTCAGTCAAAGAGTGTGAGATTTGTCAACAACAAAGACATTTTGGACGAATAACTGAACACAAGCACAAATCCCACCAGCTATAAACAATTAGCTCCACCATGTAATGTACACATTGATGTAATCACAATAATTATGTCACAATAATATATATCATTCTGAGATGGGCCATTCTGCATAATGAATACTTTTGGTCCTTCAAGTATATTCCGGTTCTAATACTTGTAAGAGAGTATTTCTACACTGCGGTACGTGCTACTTCTTCACCCACTGATAACACTACAGGAGAGCATCTCATTCCGGAGAGCCCAACATGTGGCAACAGTAAAGATAACATCTATCAATTGTTGATGATTAACGATCATCTCGAGTCTCATTCGCCATAACAAATGCATCATTGTTATACTGGCTGTCAAGTAAAGATAAGATCCTGGTCCGGCTGCAGAGCGAAGGTCTTCCAGCCCAGGACAGAATCTTAAACCGCAGGGTTACAACTTTCATTGAGGTAAGTTGACTTGTTTTTGTTCAGGTTTTATTAAAGAGCACATTGATGATCATTTTCTGTGCAGTAAGACGTATTTCCTCACAGTAACTTAATGTTCTCTCCGCTGCTTCACTGACTAGATATGACACTTGCAGATATAATATAGCTATTAGAAAATAGCGCAGCAAACTAAAAAAAATGTTCTACTATTTTTGATATTCGTAATCATTATCCTGCTTTTGAATAACATGCTCACAGACCTTCTTTAGGAAAACACACCTTTTTAATTCTCCAATTTACATCACAACTATGAACAATTTCAGCTCAACGGTATTGTATTTCTATATATTCTAAAATGAGTATAGACCACTTCACCAGTGTAAAGGTCAAAATGTAGAAAGCTAATGCTAACAAACCTCACCACTGTAGCATGAGCACGAGTAACACAACAAGGCTGTAAAAGGCGGAGTAGCCGATGTGGTGACATTTTGTAGTCTCCTTTAGCCACTTGTTAGCAAAGACTTTTATTTTGACATGTAAAAGCTTCAAAATTCATAAGAGGCATATTTACTGGTGTATTTTATGTCGTAAAACAAAACTTTAAAATCTCTTAAGCTCTTGTTAAGCACAGACCTTATTTCAGCCATCTAACTAAAGACCCGTTCAACATGTTTTTGTTTTTTTTGGACTCATCCCTGCAGCACTCTATAGCAATCAGGGAGCGACGACCATAAACAAAGATGGCGATGTCTGAAATGACGAGCTCGAGGCTTCAAAACAGTAGTCAAAAAAAATAATGGGTGACATCTTGGTGATGACGTCCACTTCTTATATACAGTCTGTAACCAATAACGAGGAAAACGAACATGCGCATTTAGATTAAAAACATCAGTAAACATTACGTAATGTGTATTTTTTATATTGTGTGGAAAAAATTCAGAGCAATCATTGATTGAGGGATTGCTTCCGCACAGCTCAACATGGTGGCGGCTGCTAACAGCTAACAGCGCAAACAACAGCAACAGTGCGGACAGAGCTCACAGTGATTACCAGAGGGGGACCGGAGGGTGGGCGCTACGCTACATTGGCTGTTGGCCGTCGGTCTAGTCAGCGGGACACACAAACATACACGTACTGCCGGACCGGCTACCAAAGCAAAACACAGAGAAGCTCGGGGTTGACTTCATTCTCTTCTTCTTGCTCAGGACACAAATACTCCTAAATAGTTTAGTCGTATAGAGAACCATTATTTAAATCGAGAGACCAGCTTCAGTATCAGTGAGTCATTGAATGAAGAAGGAAAAACAACAAAAGCATATGGCATCTTAAATGTTTAGGTATATTGTATATGTTTTTCCACAGAGATGTTGCACCACACAGTTTTGGTGGTTTTGGTGGTGTGGATGACAGTGGATCATGCATCCTCTGCAGCTGCTCCTTCTCCACAAATAGGTAAAGGTCATGCAACACACACTCTACTTTCCCACATCACTTTCATATCTGAGTGAGATCTGCTTTACTTTCAGAAGACGAGGAGCTCAGCCACACAGAAGCCGCAAATATGGCCGAGATGACGGAAAAGCTCACTAGCACAAACTTCGAACAGTTGGATAAATTAAGGAGCAGGTCCACATATGTTGCGAGGAGCTGTAAGGAGATCAATAACAGATATAATGAACAAGAAGGTGTTTTTCTGGACAATACTTTCAAATTTAACACATTATTGATCAACAGTTTTTCATTAATTCAAGGTGTTGCAACCCACTATAAAACATTTTTTCCCCTATAACATTTACTGTAATATTGGCAGATGGGTTGTACTACTTGACCACTGCTAATGGCATGGTCTACCAGACTTTCTGTGACATGACCACCGCGGGCGGCGGCTGGACCCTGGTGGCGAGCGTCCATGAGAACAGTGTTTATGGGAGGTGCACGGTGGGCGATCGCTGGTCGAGCCAGCAGGGCAACAACGCTGACCTGCCAGACGGAGACGGGAACTGGTCCAACAGGAACACGTTCGGAGCAGCAGAGGGCGCCACCTCGGACGACTTCAAGGTACGTGAGCGTGGTGGAAAATAATCGCACTTACTGAAGGTTACTTTAGTAAATTCTTAAAGTACTGTATTCAAGTGTGATTTGAGGTACTTTGCTGGCAGGCTATATGTGCAATTGTTTTCAACTTCCACTCTACTATAATTCAGGGGGAAATATTGTTTTATTTATCTGAAAGTGGGAGTTACTGGTTAATTTCAGATTTAAAACTTTTAAGATTCTAGAATAACAAGAAGTGGTGTCCAGCTGGGTGTTACATTTCAGTGTATTAAGCAGTTCTACCAAAGACAGATTTCCCCTTTCCACATGGTTTCACTTTAATAACAAATCATCCAATATTTCACAAAAAAACACCGAAAGATTTTGAGAAAGATCTTTCCATCCCCTCATATTTATCTTGTGACCCTTTGATGGGGTGCAACCCCCAGGTTGGGAAGCACTGGACTAAACTACCGAAATGTATATTAAGTATCTAAAACTAGCTCCACCTCAAACACCTACAACTAATAAACAAGTAAAATGCTGCTTACACGTTGACACATCACTGTTAACTAGGCGGCAACCTCCGGATCTGAAAAGTGAAGTCAGTCCTTAAGTGTCTTAAACTTGCATTCTCTCTAATGGCCATCAGGGGGCGACTCCTCAGATTGTATAGAAGTCTATGAGAAAATGACTCTACTTCTCTCTTGATTTATTCCCTCAGTAAACATTGTAAACATGAGTTTATGGTCTCAATCTCTAGTTTCAAGTCTTCCTCAATACAGCACGATGTTTATTTAGTAAATTATGGTCCATTTAGAGTCAAATATACCATAAAGCAGAGTATGCTTTAGGGCGGGGCTACCTTGTGATCGACAGGTCACTTCCGCTACCAGAGTCGTATACAACGTCTCTACGTCACTCCTCCACATTACGATTACGGTCACTTGCGTACAAAATATTAATCAACCCTCTTCTGTTATCTTAACTGTTTTTTCTTCCATGGTTTTTGCATGACTTTGTACCAACCAAAAATATCATCATAACAGTGTAGATCTGTATACACCCGCACAGTCATGAGAAGCGGTCTTATCAATCAGTGAAAGTGAAAACTATGGGGAAAGACTCAGGGTGTGTTGGGGCTTTAAGCTCCCACACCTGCACAGGTGTTTTCAATGATCGTGTCTGATTAGATCGTCTCGTCAGGACTGTACAGGTGTGTCAGTCTCCTTCACTCTCCACAGTGCAGTGTTGAGTGGGACAATTCACACTCATTCACTTTTGTGATTGTAAGATTTTCAGATTTAAAAACAACATTTAGTCGAGCTGTATTGTGCTTACTGGAACATCGGTACTGGTCAAGTTACATTTATCTTCTTATTTGTCAATAAAAAGTAAAGGCCAGAGAAGCTAAAAAATGAGCACAATGAAAAAAAAATCCACTGAATGTTGACTGATGCAAAAAAAAGAAAAGTTAAATGTCATCTAAATCACAAAAAAGAGTTGTGACAATAGTGTGTGCGGTTTCCCAGAATCCAGGATACTATGATATCGTGGCACAAGACATGTCTGTATGGCACGTTCCCAACAACTTCCCACTGGAGCACTGGAACCTGGCAGCCATCCTCCGCTACCACACTGACAACCGCTTCCTCCGCCTGTATGGAGGGAACCTCTTTCAGCTCTTCAAGGTGACTTAGTTGTGTGGTTGTTTTAAAGTTACACTGGTGTAAAGTAACGAAGTACAATTTTGAGGTAGTTACAAGTTACTTTGCGTATTCAGATTAGTTTTACAAAAGATAATTATTGTATTTATTATTATTATCGCCAACTGGGAGATAGTGAGATCGGTCCAGTGTGTGCATGAGTGTGTGTGTATCTCTGTGTCTGTCCACGGCTAATCTCGCAAATTGCTCCACCAAACTGCATAATATTTTTTGTGAGAGACCAGCTGATCTTAACAGCTGATATCATGATCAACAGCCCCAACAATAACAGCAAGGAAATAATGAGTGATTGGCAGATGTATGAGAAATAAACTACGGGCTTAGGCATGCAAGATTAGTCTTCCTGGCTGAATTCATGCTAGAGCTTTATTTGTCACGTATCTCGCGTACGTCAGTAACGGCACTATATATGTATTGTATATTGTCACATTCCTCCAGCAATATCCAGTGAGATACAACGTTGGCTCATGCAGCAACAGAGGGCCGTCTGTTCCTATTGTGTATGACCATGGAGACAGAGAGTCCACCAGAATGTTATACGGACCCAGGTCAAGAGGTAAATGTAATGAGAGGGAAATAGAGATAACAGAGATTCTTCGCTATAATGCTTTGCTTGAATTAATAAACATTGTATTACTTTTCAAGGTTAAAGGTTACCCTCAAATTATAAAATTGCTAAGACATTAACTAACTTAACCAAATTCATCCATGTAAACAAGAAAAACTTTTTTCTGTTTCTGTGAAAAGGGGAGTTTGAACCAGGTTTCATCACATTCAGAGCAATAAACAACGAACGTGCAGCCATGGCTATCTGCTCCGGGGTCAAGCCCAGTGTTGCTGGCTGCAACACCGAACATGTGAGTCCCACACCTCTGCTGTCGGTCAGTCAACACAGAAAATGATAGACAGTGTAGTAATACTGTTGTTGTTGGCGTGTGTGTGTGTGTGTGTGTCTCCAGTACTGTATAGGAGGAGGCGGATATTTCCACCCTGAGCAGTGTGGGGACTTCCCATCCTTTGACTGGGACAGACTGGGAATAGACCAAGGCTGGAGCGCTTCCAAAGAGATGACTGAGGCCGCTGTTTTACTGTTCTACCGCTGAGACGGTTATTTGCACACATAGCTTATGACTATTGTTTCCGACGCGTCAACAATCATACTTGTAGCCAGCATGTCTCGTTTTTGTGTCCATGAATTATAAATCCTAATATTACAGTCACTTGTAATATGATGGTCCTGGGACAGAGGATGTCGTATGTGTACAGATTGTAAAGCTCTCTGAAGCAAATTTGTGATTTTGGGCTGTACAAAATATATTGAATTAAAATGAAATTGAACTTGTAATGACGCCGCACACCAGCAGATAGAGCTGTTGATCTGCATATTCAAATAAAAATATTTAGCATTTTTTGGAAGCTTTTTGAGTAGTGTCTTAAAGCCACCCTCTGTAGTATATATTCTCTGCCCATTGACCCGTATTACACACAAGCGATCATTTTAGCTCAAAAATCTCTCTCCCTGAGCCCTCCTACTGAAGATTGTGACATTACATCTGACCTCCATCACCCTGTGGTGGCCTTGCCTGGGTCCGGGACTTCGATCTATCCACTCCACCGAGTTCTGTCTGATATTGGGCAAGTGACCTGCACATGAGAAGAGTGAGTATGTTCAGCACTGTGTAGTCAGCTTTGTCCACGATGGTAGACTGATATGTGGGGCTGCACGTACACTGACCTTTCATCGAACAGCTGCTAAACACAATGGAACCACATCAATAACTTTTTGATGTCTTTGTATATTTCATTTATTAATTTCATTTAATGATTATAGTTTCTCAATAAATTACTCATTTATTAATTGAAAATAATTTAAAACATGGTTGGAATAGACACTGTCCCAGCCTTTCCACAGAGACACATCTGGCTCTCAGGTCATTACAAGGAAAGGAAAACACATTCTGTTTTATTCATTTATGCATTTCTATTTACTATTAATTAATTAATTAATTTATGTGTTTATTTTTTTATCGACGGACTGACTGACTTATTGAATGAATGGGAAATTGACTATGGCATTCACCAGAATGTGGCATTTATTTTGAAGTCGGCTCTTAAAAACAAAACAAACTAGCTTCACCGTGTTTAAAAAAAAAATGGAGGCTGTCTTGACGGCAGTGAGAGGCCGTAGTACAGGTGGGTGACAAACCCAAACCCTTCTGTCGCATGTGACATCAAAGTACTCCAATTACTACTTGTTTTTAAATCAATTTGGAATGCTGCAGTTTAGAAACTCAAAATGGCCTCCGCTCCGTCACTGCTGTAGCGTTCCAACGAGGGCTCCGGCGGTGCGGTCCTTTTTGAGACGCTCAGTAATCCATCGTGTTTTTAGAGACTTTATAAAACTAATAACTCCAACAATGTATGTATTCTCTGGTTAGTCATCCACGTTGAAGGAAGTTGTTGTCATCGTTAGCCGCTAGCTGAAGCCTGCTGCTACTGAGGGAAAGATGTATCCAGTGTTTTCAGTTTAGTGTGTCTTTGTCTCCTCTGTGAGTCTAACTTAAAAAATAGTACATTCTTAGAATTTCGACTAAAACAACGTAAGTATAGTTTTTTTAAGACATTGAGCGTAAACACACATTAATCTCCTGTTACCTCTAATACAAAAACATTATATGATGGGGCTGGCATTTCTTTTGTTAACAAATCCCATGAATAGACGACAAATGCGTTGGTCCATCCCACAATACTTCCGACTTTCCTACCTTGTCTATCAAGCTGATTTGTTCATGCACAAATATGCAGTGTATTTATGAATAAGGAAAAAAATATTTACAAACAAATCACAATAAAATGACATTAAATAAAATAACAAAATTTGTTTTCAGGATATGTGACTAAAACAGGACCAAATAGTGCATTTCTTGGGGACTATTTACAGCTGCGGATGAATTCGCATTTGGTACGCTAACTATGCTAGTATTTACAGCAGCAAATCGGTCTGTGTGGGATTACCTCGAACAAATACGGTCAACCTTATTGATGTGTTTATAATAGTATTGGGACAACAATGAAGGTTCCGGCACACGGAGGAATAAACTATATCACGCTTTGGCTACACAGACAGCAGATAATGGGCAGGGGGGGGCATTGTTATTTTGACTCTTTTCATTGGTTTTGTTGGCAATGAGAAACCGTAACCGGCTTAGCATTTAGTATAGTGGGACTAAACTGGTTTCACAGTTATGTGCATGCTCCAAAATTCCTCTAACGGAAAGTGGAGGAGCATATGAGATCGGGGAAGGTTAATTTGTTGAGAGAGAAGAGTTGCGTGTGTTGATGAAGACGTATCGAAGGGGAACGTTTCCAACTTGGACCTCTTCGATCATCAAAAAAGAAAAGGCGAAGGTGTGAGGTAAATATTGTGTTTAATAAACAAACATCAGTCAGGGAACTGACATTAGTCTGGGGATGGAGAAGAGGGGAATATAAAGCACAATGCACATGTGTAGAGGGGGACGGGGACGTATTTATCTGTTACACAAGGTGCCCCCGTACAGTAGGAGCAGGAAGTTCTATATAACATACAGATCAGGATCCAAGTCTACGGTACAAAAACTTAGCAGCAACATGTTAACATCGGAGACCGGGGGGGTGGGGGAGGGGCTAACAAAGTAGTTTCATTTAGAAAAAGTCACAGTATTCTTTAAGCATAAATTTGTTAAAAAGGTAAAAACAGTTCCTAAGCATCCCCTAGGGTCAATGCTACTCACGAGATTGTGTGTGTGAAATACATAGGTAGGGAAGAAAATGATCTATACATTTATACTCTAATATAAAGACCTTCTGGCAATGGCACAGTACAAACTCTCAGGAAACGCGACAAAAAAATATACAATGTCTTCACGTCACATTTGCAGATTAAAATGTAACTAAGATCTCTGGCAAGCACAATAGTTTCAGTGATCCAAAAAAAACAAAATTCTCTTAAACCAAAATAAAGAACACCATTTTGTTAGTTCAGCTATCTTGACAGATTATGTCTTTTTTTAATACAAAAATAAGGACAAATATAAATTAATATATATTAAAAGAATCAGATTGATACATATGGGATCTACTGAATAAGTACAGGTATTTATGATACAATAAATACTTGTCATTCATGACTGGGGAGGGGGGGTAGATAAACAGAGTGTACTGTATCCAACCTGGCAGGTATTATGTGTAACTCTTCTACATGTGAGAGCACTTGTGTGTGTGTGTGTGTGTGTTGTTCAGTAGCTGTAAGAAATAACAGGAGTTTGACCACAGCTGTGTGTGGGATCGTGCACACAGTCTCCGAGGGTTCTGGGGGTCTACAGTGGTGGTTCCTCGTGTTGTAGGGGGGGGGGGGGGGGTTATCGCTGCCCGCCGTCTCCCGTGCTCTCAATGCAGCTCCTCCTAGCGGTGAGTCCGTGGTACTACCAATTAAGGTTACTCCTAAAAACACACAACTCACAGACGGGAAGCAGGAAGTCTATGGGGAGGCGGTCGGCCATCCCGGGGGAAGAGACAAGCGTGGCACGCCGTCAGAGTCGTCACGACCAAAGAAAAAGAAGTAAGGAAAAAGTCAACTCTTGTGTGTTTTTTTGTCTTTTTTTTGTCTTTTTCTCCACTTCATAATAAAAAATAAGTCTGTTTTTGTACTTTACAATACAATTCAACATCCCCACCGAGGAAGCATCAATCATCAGTCCAGCACTGACAAAGAAACAAAATTCTTTTTTAGTTGTTTCTCTTTTTTTTTTTTTTGCCTTTTTTTTTTAAGGGTTTAAAAAAACAAACAAAAAACAGGGATGGTTGGGGGGAGGGGACCGTGGAAGGTGAAGGGTTTTTCTCAGGAAGGAATCGGGACCTTGGACATCCAGTAAGGCGGGCAAGAATATAAATCTGGAGGGGGGAGAATCGCTCTTTTTTTTACGAGGAACACTTTGTACAGCCACACTTGACCACTTTCTCCACTTCCTGGACAAAAGACGAGCCGTCGGTGCACTGGAAGGTGTATTTCCTGCGTTTGCTGCGGAGGGGGGTGCAGCAGGTGCCCTGTCCGTCTGCTCCCCCCGCGCAGCTGCCCCGGCACTCTAGGCGGGAGACCTTCTCCTGGGTTTGGCACGCCGCGTAGCCTTGCTGCCTCTGGTAGACATCTCGGACCCGTTCCCCTCGGCAGGCCACCTCTGCGGGCGTGAGGAGGGAAACGCAGAGTTAACGAGTTATCCGCACATAACCGCTTTGAAGATGGCAAAAGTGACGTGACTGGTGAAAACAACTTCACCGGAATTCAAAGTGTCAGCGGAGAGGACAAGACGAGGATATGAAAGTGAGACAGGGGGACGCCATGGATGACGACACAATGCAAAAATAAATAAAAAATGCTTCAAAGAAGCAAAATATTAGGAAATGTTGAGAAAAAAATCGGTCAATGGAGTACAACACGTGTGAAACTATCCCACCACTACAAAACACTGAAACATTGTCCAAAATACAAACAAAGCTAATGAATACAGAAATAATAATAATAAATAAATAATTTGTCTTCCTGTAAAACGTATCAGTTAATTCTTAATTAACAGGAGTTAATTTATTCACATGCACTACTGATATTGATATATAAGTTAGTTTGTGCTAAACAAACCACGTATCCTCATACAATCTCCTACGCAAAAGTTTATCCTCGTTTTTCGTGCGTTTTCCTACAAAAGTCAGAAATACTTGTCAATTTACGCTTGTTACATGTAAATGGTCCTTTCAAAATAAACTTCCCATCTTCACAGAAAACATTTTAGTTAGGTTTAGGCAACATAACTGCTTAGTTAAGGTTTAGGGAAAGTTCATCGTTTGGGTTAAAATAACTACGGGAGTGACGTTACTGAAGAAAGAAAGTTACGTGACAAAAACATCAACGACGACTTCGCGTATCACTCGGGGACCGAACAGCGGTCTCCTGGCAGAAAGATCGCTGGCTGTTGGACCAGTCCACCTCCCTTCTGACCCGCCTTGTGTGTGCTTTTGTGATATTTAAACTTCTTTGCTTTTGATTACGTGGATAACTTACAAAATCATTTCCCGGCATATCTACGAATTATGGCGCATTATATGTTCGTAGGTATAGCTACGGATGCTGGATGAGAACAGCCTGAAACAACTAGATTCTACATCTTAAGAGTTTAATACTCGACAGACAAGATTGTCTATCTCGGATGAGAGAAAAATAATAATTCTTATATAAGATAATACGACTATGTTGAATTTTCATATTGCTCTGTGTAAATTGAAAGATGACAAAAAAAAGCAAACTACTTTAGCTGCTTGTTGCATGAGGTGAAACCAAGGTGACGCAGTGGTTGGACGTCTTTTGGGTTGAAGAGGAAAAAAAATATATTTGAAAAAAAGAGGGCGACAGTAAGATGTGATCAGGCAGTCTCACCTGAGTAACCCCCCGCGAGGGATTAGGAGGAAGCTCAGGAGATGCTGAGTTGAAAAAGCAACGGGTTAGAAGCCTTAATGCAGAGACATTGAACACTGTTAGACACACACACACACACACACACACACACACACACACACAGACAGCTAACAGACAGCCAAGCAGAAGCTTAGAAGACAAGATAAACATGCTTTAGATTCAAAAGCTTCTACGGCAATAAGTTATTATTTTTAGAAGGATGTTAGTAACAACGATGAATATGTTTTTTTCCTCACCTTTGTCGCACGCCTCTCCTGTGTACCCGCCGTTACACTCGCAGTACGCCTTGCCCAGGCCCGACACTCTGCATTTGCCGTGTTTGCATCGGGACGGACTGCAGGTGTTGGCTGCGTCCTGGTCCTGCTCGTCGCACAGGACGCCAGCGAAGCCGGGCTGGCAGCGGCAGGAGTAGGAGTAGGAGTTGATCGGGAGGCAGGTGCCGTGGATACACCTGAGGACGGGGGAGGGGGAGATGGGGAAAGGTGAAGATGGGGTACAAATCTCCTGGCCAAACTGTGGTTTCAACCCTCTAAAAGCATGTTCTCTTTAAAAACATTGCCCAAACTACACTATTTATCCTAGAAGCTTTGGAAACAGTCATTATCAACAAATTTTCATCTTTCCGGCGGTCTTAGGACACATCATGTGTAACGAACGCTTCCGTCAAGAAAGCATTTTAAAGTTCTCTCTACTTCTAGCCATGGCTGTGCTGTTTCCATGGAGGTGCAGGACTTGTATATTGCTGTTAAAATCAAAGCCAAAGAGAGTAAAATGGGACCGGAGCAAAAAACGCCCTGAAACTGCTTGGGGTTTCAGAGGGTTAAACCCATACCAGGACTGTGATTGCCCCAACCACGGCACACAGACACAGAGGCACAACAAAACCACTCACTTGTTGCCGTCGCAGGGGTTGTTGACCTGCTGGTCGCACACCGTTCCCGTCCAGCCCGGGTTGCAGGTGCAGGTGAAGCCGCGATGCCCGGTCGGGTGGCAGTCTCCCTGGACGCAGGCGCCCCTTTGGCAGGGCTGGCAGCCCGCCTCCACCCCGTGGCCCAGCCACTGTCTGGCGTCGCCCAGTGCGGCCCCGGGGCCCGGAGCCCCTGCCCCCACTCCGGCCCCCAGGTCCTGCAGCTTCCCGTTGATGTACAGGTTACGGAGGCAGCCGTGGAAGCTGGTGCCGTTGCGTCCGCCCGAGCTATGCTGCAGGGACGAGAGGCCCCCGGAGGCCGAGGCACGTTCTGGCATACCTGGAGGAGGAAAGGATTACAGAGGGGTACATCAGGAGTGCACAAATACTTCTTCATATAATGGCTTTCACACATAAGAGGGTAGATTAAAATACACTAGATTGTTATTAAAATACGCCAACATGATTTAGTTTGAATTCCTCTGGATGGATGTTCTGATCTGCAGTTTTGGGTGCTCCACTAATGAGAGCAGTAATCTAGACAGCCAGCGCTTAAAAGGGCTCATTCTAAAACCAATCAAGGTGCTTATAGTGATATTATTGTTTTGTGGGCTTCACATTTCAAATCAGGACCAACATGCACATCAAGGCTACTTATGGTTTCATGTTTTAGTTCCAGGATTTTAAGTCAGTCCACTTGAGCCTCTCCAATAGACAACACCTGAGAACAAATACAAATCTGCCTGATTTCCTGCTGTTATGATGTATTAATCACACATGACCAACAATGTGAATGTAAAGGGCATTCATTAAAAATAATATGTTAAATAATATTCCTGTTTCTTTACAACTATATCTTCACAAATAAACCAGACTTCCCTGCAGTTGTCAGGCATCCACGCAGACACACAGAGACGAGTCCTTACCTCCCAGGTACAGCGGAGAGTCTATGTTGAGTGTGGACTCTTTGCTGATGGAGTTGATGGATTTGGGTGGCCCGCCGTCGATGGACAGAGACAAAGTCTGTTCCGATGCGACCAACTCCACAGCGTGGAAGCTGCCATCATTCACTGTCTCCACGCTGAGAAAGAGAGAGAGAGACAGAGAGAACCTTTGCATCATCCATCATGTGGATGTGAGCCGGACGTTTCTGCTTGTATGTGCATGTACCTGTATATAGCAGAGGGAGGGTAGGATCCGGTTTCGTAGCTGACCCTGAGGCGTCCCCTGTACAGCTCCATGGCGATGTGATCGTTGTCCCCTTTGTACAGCAGCACGCCACTGTCCTCGTCTGTGGCAATCTGAAAACACGCCAGGATGTTTGAGTTAATGACCGAAAGAAAATGAAAGTACCAGTGCAACAATGTTAAACTATCCTGCTTTTAAATTCCTAATTATATGTTAAGGGTGGAGGATGAATGACTGAATGAGTAAAGAAGTCCAATATTGACTCTCTGTTTTTGGTCTCTACCAACCCATCTTGTGCCTATTAGCACACATTGTTGGAAAACAGAAGCTCAGGTTGGGCCAGTCTGTCAAGTCTAAACTACTGCTACAACACTTAGTCTACTCTGTTTTTTTGCTGCTATTGGAATCCCGAAAATGTTAAAAGAAATCACTGGAAGCAGTCAGAGTTCGATGCAAGAGAGTTTATTCTTTGAGTAGGAAGTAAACCCGAGCAGACACCGGAGTCCAACTGCCTACCCTGCTCTGAACACCTTATTAACAGCCTTATATAGTTCCTCCGTCTCGGGCCAATGCTGCACCTCTATTTTAAACTCCTCCATTGTTGCCCTGCAAATAATGGTGTAATATTTTTATGGTTCCACCCAAGTTTCATGTTTCTAATGGGATCTCGGAAACTTTCCTGCTCAGGCATGTTCTCCTGACACCAGTATTTCCAGGGGTCTCTAAAATGCATTTTTTTATTCTTTCCAAGTTATATATTGAATCAAACAGGTTATATGTTAAATCACTTGAATCATACTACATTCACACATTCTGATATAGTGATTTCACAGATGTGTGCTTAAAGCATTGATTATATTTGATAGAGCTGACTTACTGTGACAAATCAAACTCCAACAACATTTGGGTCTCTAAAAGAAATTCAACCAGCGAAACTGATGGTTTGCGTTCCCTCTTTAAACCAGATGTGAGCTAAAACATAAGAGACACAAACTGTGACTAGTTCTCTACCAACTCCTCCTGTAGCTGTTTAGCTGCCAAACATCCACGGGTTATATGTTAAATCACTTGAATCATACTACATTCACACATTCTGATATACTGATTTCACAGATGTGTGCTTAAAGCATTGACCAGTCACTAACTGTGTCATTCTGTTGTTGGGCGCATTGCAAGTAGTGCGCAGTGGGGTTTTTAGAGCTTTTTTCACGGTCTGGAAACGCCACCATGACAGCGGCAAGATCTCCAAAAACAACACCTGCACGATGAGACTTGGTATGAAGCTCACCTGCAGGCTGATGTTGGTCTCTGGCGAGAGGAGACTGGAGGGGAGTTGCAGGTAGGACTCTCGGTTGACGAAGTTGACGCTGACGAGCGTCTCGCAGCGCTCGCCCTCGTAGCCGTGGAGGCACTGGCAGCGCGGGTCTGCTCCCATGACAACGCACTGCGCCTCGTTCAGGCACTCGTGGTTGTCACACTGGCTGGTGCGAGGAAGGACCATCGGGGGAGAGAACTTGCAGAATAACCCGCTGCAACACACACACACACACACACACACACACACACAATGAATACAACAAGTGTGCCTGAAATTGTGTTATTTAACTTCATTTTTTAAAGTATTATAGTGATATATTAAGTATGAGTTCCAAAGTACTACTAATGTACAAGGAATACTCGTAAAGTGGTTTCTTTGATTTCTATGAAGCAAACATGTTATATCATAATCATATCATCAGTCTGGTGTACAGCTATCAACCACACCACAGTCCCTTTACCGTGCAATGTTTCTCTGCATATGCCCTTGTATGGCTTTCAATTTGTTTAATTTAATTGAAGTTTATTTTTAATATATATTCCTCTTATTAATTATGCTTTACTTTATCTTTCTATCTGTGTTTTTTCTGTCCGTGTGCTGCTGCAACAATAAAGGTTTATCTCTTTTTACGCTGTCTCTATTCTTCTTTTTCAAAATCATATTATTGTCATTTTGGGGTGCTACAGGGTGGTGCTTTCAAGGACAATTCAACATCTGAGATTTGGTAATTAAAAAAGAACTATGTTAGATGGAGAGATAGTGAGAGATAGATAGATATAAAGAAAGAACTGATAGTGAACACAAGGGGGAGCCCTTTCTACACCACACACTGCAAATAAATAAACATTTAGCATGGAATCAGGGAGAAAGGGAAGTGTTTTTTTTGACAAACAGGAAAAAAAGACTGCCACATTAAAAACAATGTAAGAATCTGTTAGAAATGTTCCTAAAAGAGCAGGAGACAAAGTCAGCAACGCAAAAAACTTTACATGCACTGCATAAATACTATTACAGACGCTTTGATATCGCCGGTACGTGTGAGCTCCTGCTGCATGTCCACCTCACCTGTATCCCTCTGGACAGACGCAGGTGTACCCGTTCACCGCGTCAATGCACTGGCCTCCGTTCTGACACTTGTTCTCCTCGCAGTCGTCGTAGTCCAGATCACAGTGCTCACCCACGTAGCCTGGAGTGCACTCGCACCTACAATGTACACGCACACACACACACACACACACACACACGCACACACACACACACACACACACACACACACACACACACACACACAC